GGTGCCATACGTGACAAAAATACCACCAATAATAGATATAGATTCTGTTATCGATGTGGTGATAAACATAGTGGTACATGTCGACATGTGAACTCTAAATGCAATTTTTGTCAAAAAATTGGGCATTTAGAGAAAATTTGTACACAGAAACGTAAAAATCAGAATATCCGTTACACAACTGAGGAAGATTCGAATATTCAGAATAATGATTCACTTAACGGTATATATTGTGTGAATGATATAAATAATCTACAGAGAATACCGCCTATACAGGTTGATGTCTTATTGAATGGTTGCGAGACAAAAATGGAAATAGATTCGGGGGCATCATATTCAATAATAAATGTAAATACATTTGAAAAATTGCCTAAATACTTAAGGAATAAGTTACAACCAATGATTCTACGGTTATCAACATGGACAAATACATCACTGCACTTACTAGGACAATTAGATGTTGATGTGACATATAATAATAAGCAATGTCCATTAACAGTTATTGTTGCTAAAGGAAAAGGCCCTAATTTGTTGGGTCGGAACTGGTTTCAACCTCTAAATATTTCTATAAATAATATAAATTTAATAGAGCATGAGGGCATACAGTGTGAAGACTTACTAAATAAATATAAAAATATTTTTTCACATGGCTTAGGTACCTACAAAGGAGAGCCTGTAGCAATACATTTAGTCCCAGGAGCTGTCCCTAAATTTATAAAGGCGAGACCAGTACCATATGCTCTGAAAGATCGCGTAGAACAAGAGATAGACAATTTGGTCAAAGACGGTGTATTGAAACCCATACCGTATTCAGAATGGGCAACTCCCGTAGTACCCATTGTAAAAAAAGATGGCAGCATTAGATTGTGTGGTGATTACCGAAGCACAGTGAATCAAGCTACAGAATCGGATACATACCCGATGCCGACTGCTAATGAAATTTTTGCGCTCCTGGCAGGAGGACGATTTTTTACAACTTTGGACCTGGATCGAGCGTACACACAGGTGCCAGTTGATGAACAGACATCAAAACTACTGACATTAAATACAACCAAAGGTCTGTTTTCAGTACATAGACTAGCATTTGGTGTTAAAGCCAGCCCAGGTATTTTCCAGCGAGCAATGACAGCATTACTTGCAGATGTCCCAGGAGTTGCTGTTCTGCTCGATGACATTATTATTACTGGTCATACACTAGAGGAAATGAAAACTCGACTGAATATAGTTCTGCAACGTTTAACAAACAAGGGACTAAAGCTTAATCAAAACAAGTGTAAGTTTGCAAAGACGCAAGTTGAATTCTTGGGATTTCTAATAGATGCCGAGGGTATACACCCTGCAAAAAGTAAAATTAGTGCAATAATAAACACGCCACCTCCAAGGAATGTTCAGCAACTTCAAGCATTCCTTGGATTATATAATTTTTATGAACGCTTTGTACCTCACAAAGCAACAGTTTTGGAGCCACTACATAGATTGTTGGACCAAAAGCAGGATTGGAAATGGAGTAAAGAGGAACAACAATCTTTTAATACCGCAAAAAGTCTACTTGCAAATGATGTCTGTCTTACACACTATGACACAAAGAAGAAACTGATTTTAACTTGTGATTCATCAGACTATGGGGTAGGAGCCGTTCTGGCACATATTATGGATAATGATGATGAGAAACCAATAGCTATGGGATCAAGAACACTACGCCCACATGAAAGACGATATTCTCAATTAGATAAAGAGGCCACACCAATTCTGTTTGGGATTAAAAAATTCAACAATTATTTGATGGGTCGTCGATTTACAATTATAACGGACCATAAACCGCTTCTGGGAATATTTGGGACTAAGAAGAAGATACCAGATATTCTTTCACCACGATTGACTCGTATATGTTTGACCTTAGCAGCACATGATTACGAAATTGAATATAAACGTGGTAAGGAAATTAGTAATGCTGATGGACTTAGCCGCTGGCCAATGCCAGTATCATCTCAAGATATTGATACTCCAGGGGAGGTTCTCTTAATAGCAGAAACACCACATGACTTGCCATTTGGTCCAAAAGACATTGAAAGAGCAACTTCTGGAGATCCAACTCTCCATAGAGTAAAATGGTTCATGGCCAGCCCGAATTACAGATAAAGAGTTACATACATATTGCTTACATCGCTTGGAGTTGAGTATACAAGATGGCTGTATTTTACTGGGAAGTCGTGTGGTATTACCAAATAAACTTAGAGAGGACATGTTAAAACTATTACACCAAACTCATAATGGTATAGTACATACTAAAGCTCTGGCTAGGAGTTATGTATGGTGGCCACAAATGGACAGAGATATAGAGAAGATGATCAGCAACTGCCATTCCTGTTTAGAAAATAGAAATATGCCAACAAGATCATCACATGAATGGATTATGCCTGCTAGACCATGGTCCCGTATTCATGTTGATTTTGCAGGACCTTTTCAAAATAAAATATTTTTGATAGTAGTAGACTCATATTCAAAATGGCCTGAGGTTCACATTGTAAATTCTATGGCATCTAGCATTGTTATCAAACATTTACGATATATCTTTGCGCAACACGGGCTTTGTGAAACATTGGTATCAGATAATGGTACATCTTTCGTGTCAAAGGATTTTGAGGACTTTTTAGTGGCTAACAAAATAAAACACATTAGGACAGCGCCATATCATCCCGCTACCAACGGGCAGGCTGAGAGAATGGTTCAAACTTTAAAAAATAAACTAAAAAAGATGACAGATGTACCTTGGGAAGTAAAATTACCAAGAATTTTGCTGACATTGCGTAGTATGCACATCAACTAAGAGAAGTCCAGCCGAATTATTGATGAATAGACAGCTGCGGACTTTATTAGACACTGTTCACCCAAATATCAATCATTACAGAAAGACAGAAAATCAGATTATACATAATGCAAATAGGAAGAATCGTGAAACTCAAGTTGGAAAGAAAGTAATGTACAGGAACTATGCAGAAGGAGAAAAGTGGAAATCTGGAACAATAATAGGGAAGGAGGGTCCTTCTAGCTATAGAATAGAAACAGAAAATGGAGAGTGTATGCATAGACACATAGATCAATTGGTAACACTTAAGGACACAGAGACAGAAGAGTTAAGAACACAGGGGACAGAAAGTGAAATACAAGAACAGGAAGCAGAAGTGGAGCAGGAATTGACAAATGAAAACTTAGGTGAAGATCAGGCATGGGAAACAGTGCAGGAGCAAGATATAATTGAGATACCCAGTTGTGACCAATGGGCGGACATGCTGGGAATACCATCAACATCAAATGTGGGAAAGATAAGAAACAAACCCAAAGGACATTCTAAACTCCCTTATGATAGATTGTAAATAGGATAACCATATATTGTTGATTTTTTTCAAGAGTTTGTTAATATTAGTGTTAAGCTTGAGGGAAAGGTATGTTGTATAACAATAATTGTGTGTGTCTTTTATTGTCACCCTCAATATAACTTTTTATCAAAAAAGTCAAATATGTAGGGTACTAAAATATAATCATTCCATGTAAGCCTCAATACAAGCAGTCATATTACAAAACATGTTTCTAAAATATAAATGTGTTTTAATCCATAATAAAATATAAATATACAATAAGATTAAATCAGTTGTGTGATAAGAGCAGATCAGTCCCTACAACGCACGAGTATGATGGATGAGCCAGCCATCACTGCGTTCGACCATATTTTAGGGAGCTCAATGACCCAAAATAATTAAATCTACATTTCACTTATGCTCTTCTAGAACAGAGAAAATCTAAATACGATCTGAAAGTAATCAGTCAGTATTTAATTGATGCTCTTCTGGAACAGGGAACATCTTAATAAGATTTGAAACTGTTCAGTCCGGATTTCAATGTTGCCCTTCTGAGACACGGAAAATCAATATAATTTACATACAGCATAATCTGACGAAAGTAGATTAAAAAAGTGCTAGAACAACCTAATAATATGTAAATGATTTTTAAACTTATACAACAAACACACACACACAGTTAATGTGCACTAAATAGCACACCTTACTAATACAGGTTGTACATCTTATCAGGAATAGTGTAATGGTAAATAATTACATATAAGTACAAGGATGTGTGTTAAATATAAGAATATACAATAAGAAAACTTATATAAAATGATTGTATGAAGTAAGCTCTAGGAAAGATTTTAATAAATGCTACCACTTAATTTACAGAATGGGGATAAAATTTAAAGATATGATACTCTGGGGAGACAAATATAAGCAGAACAGAAATAAAAAAGCTAAAAAAGACAATTTACAAGACACTTTAAATTGTATCCACATTAGCTAGGTTGCTACCTAGCCGACTTGTAGTGACTTTGATTATCTTTTAGTTAAGTTAATCCACATATACCTATAACTAGTCTAAAAGTTTTAAATAGTGATCTATCTACCAGTTCCTTATACCGTCTTCCCTACAATTTACAAACATGGCTAATTTATGGTTCATCTCAGACAGAGTCCAGAAAGCCCACAAATTCATTAATATAATATTAAAATTATGGATATTGATATTACACAACATTTTTATTTGATAATTACAAAAAAAGAGCTGAAACACTACCCCTAAAAATTAAGACATATTTTTTAATAGATAGCCCAAAAAAAAGAATAAAAATTGGAGCACTACTCTTAAAGTTGTGCTGGCATCCATCTGGAAAGACCATTTGATAAAATGTAACTGTCTAGTTATATTTACTGTATCTATTTATCTTTGCGCCACTTTATTTACTATGCTATTAATAACCCATCTGAAGTTTTCATAGTAATTAAAGGTGAAAACGTAAATGTATTACAAGAAATACAACGTCAAATTAACTCAATAAAGATTTAATTCCACATGCAAAAAAATGATCGGATCTATAGAAAAACCTGCTTTGAAACATCCGTAATTCCCTATGACACAATATTATCAACAGTAAAAAGTATTGCAATTAGGCTCACCTCTGATTCGTTGTCACCGCACTTGTTTTTGTCAATTTTAGTCTTCATCGCCTCCTGCAATCAACAGTTCTCACTGAAACATCCACAACACAGATTCTTCTTTGTGATCACCAATTTAATACGACTTTACACTTGTAAATTATTCACAGTCGCATACCACAAACGATCTGACATGGCATTTGTACGATACGAAACGGCATAACCTGAACGGATGCGGTGCAAATATAGTCTTTAGAATCTAAAAATTTACGTTCAACAACTTTCAATAACCATATCAATAACACTTAGATTTGATGGCAAGATTTGTCACTAATGTTTAAACTCACCTTTTCTTTTTTCGGCATAACAAATTAGTAAATAAGCTGAAAATATTACTTTGTATTAATGACATGAAGTTAGTTCCATTTTGTTGTTTGTCAATGTCAAACCTCCGTCTAGAGGATTGGATGAATCAGTCACGTGACTTCATGACGTTGCAAGTAGTGTTGGAAAAAATAATGAGGACTAAAATCTGAAATCGATATGATAATTTAACCATAATGAAATTTAATTACGACTTAGTTCAAACAGTACTCTAAATTAATACACACATCATCAATGATAACAACATTGTTTCGTTTATTGTGATAGAAGATAGTTAATATACATATATATATATATATATCAATCCAAAGGTCGTGAGTTTAAATCTGGAAGATACTATTGACTTCTTTGTCAATTCACATATTTGACCGACTCTCCGATTATGAAAACAAAAATATTAAACCAATTTTGATGACCAGAGAAGTATGTTGGACTTGGCGAAATGTTGATATATCAAGTATTTCGTTCACCTCGAAAGGTTTCCTCACCCGACGTCACCCTCATCCTATCACCTTCCACTGGTATTTACCACCATTCCATATTATTTGAAAAATATACATCTGATGTAATATCATTCTCTCAATAAAAATAGATGATATAATATCATGCTCTCTCAAATGGAGATCTAAATAGAACTTAAGACTTAACTGGCGTTGTTTCCTTATGTAGTTGCAAAAATATCTTCAGTTTGCATAAATATTTTTTCGAATTATTCTAATGCTGTTGGCCGTAGCTAGCCTTTATAGCTTCACTGAACGATAGAGTACGAGTGCAGATGGCACTCGAACCTGCAAAAGGACGGTTTACGGAGCGGCTGCAGGCTAACTCCTGTCTGGCGATACGTCTTTAGACTAAGAGCGCCGCTAGAGGATCGAATTGACTCACGCCGTCTTAATTTTGTACCCTGTTTGAAATGGACGAGCAATGGGATGGAGGGGGTTAAAGGTAAGGATTTTAAGGGTACGTAACAAAACATGAGGTACTGTATTAATTATAATAATATATTTAAAGAACGAATTTATTTATTTAATATACGAATTTATAATATAATAATACTAACAATCAGAATACTCTTATTAAAATAATATTAAAACTAAACGCTTATGAAACATTTTTCTTTCTAGCTGCTCCTACAGATAAACCCTTATTCTTGACAATTTTGTAAGGTCCCAGTTGACGACGGACTATCAAGCCACGCCACCACGCCTGTACCGTTATTGCCGATTTAGTCATCTTATCATGATATTGGCGCGCTTTTTCTCGTTCTTCTTTGAACTGCTTCCAATCCTTAATTAAAGTATCATGTTTCTCTATCTAGAAGAATGAAAACAAAATATATATAATGAGTATAGTAACAACTGAAGTGGACTGGTAGGTATTATGAATGTACATTAAGTCTACATATTGTACCATGTGTTATCTATCTATACTTAAAATTATAAAGACGCAAAGTTTATGAGTTTTGATGGTCAGGGTAATTTCCGGTAGTACTGATTCGATTTTGAAAATTATTTTTGTGTTGGATAGCCTATTTATTTAGGAAAGCTATAGTCGATATAAACTGTTATGATAAACAAGAACATAACTGTAATTTTTTTTTTACAAAAACTAGTTTGTTTAAATGTTACGACAAAAATGAGCGTTGTAATGAGAAATGTTGCGAAACAGGGAAAATGAGACAACGACAAAGTTACGGCGGTCAACTAATTGGTCAATAAAATTATTTAATATAACAATATTGATTCATCCGACTATGAATTACTTGGTAGCTCGTAAGTAGCTTGTGGCGTACTTAAATACGTATAAGTTATAGTTTCAAAAGTGAAAGAGAAGTCAATGAAAATTATCTTTTATGTTGGATAGAATTAGACGCAATGAACAAAGTTTTATAAAAATTGGTTATGTAGAGTCAGAGTTTATATCGGACAAAAAACGTGACGCGGGAAAGTGAACTAGCAAATAAAAATATCTGAAAATGGTATTAGGTAACCGTGGTTTCAAGTTCCACCCTCTTATCAAGCATGTTCTGGTAATCGTTCTTTTTATACTGTATCTTCAAATCAATTGCCTCCATATCTATGTCATATTTAGTCATCCAATCATCTACTTTTTGAAGGGTGTCCTGAAGAATAATTTACTTTTAATATATGAAATTTAGTGATATAAAAATTGAAATTAATTACTAATAAAAAATTACAATATTACATTAATAGAAATGTTTATAAGCAATTCAATCTCCGAGTGGATCCTTTGTTCAAGTTCATTTTTTCGTTTATAGAGTTCGATGCTCTCAGAAGGAATAGTCTCCTTATCTTTTATAGTTTGAAGATGTTGTTCAGTGCGAGCGAGCTGCCAATTGTCCACATAACGACTTCGGCACTCGGAATATAAGACGGAATCCTTTCAAACGATAAGACTTGATTAGTTATATAAGACATTAACGATTTTTTTCATAAAAGAGTGCATGAGCATCCATCTCTGCTAACGGATTACGCAGGGCACCAGTGGAGGATGATGAGAAGAATATGTAGTCAGGTCAGTAAGCCTGTCGTGGCAAACTCACCAGGAATTTATCACTATAGCGTTCAGGACGAACTGCGTGGATGTAAACCTGACATATATATGATAATACATTGATACAATGTGGTTATTAGTCCATATTACAACAGATAATATAATATTTATTACTAACAATCCCCTTTTCCCCGATAGTAGCAATACGTGCTATAATTTTAGGATCATTATAAAATTATTTACTATTTTATCTTATATAGATAGACTGTACAAACTGACTGACTGTACTTTGGTCTGCGTAGGTCTTTCCTATTTCTAGTGCTAAGTAACTTGTTATTACTGAATAACTACCGAATACCACAAAGTTACTGTTGCTAAGTGGCTGCAGTTTAAGAAAATATAGTTCAGGTGCAGGTTCGATTCCTCGCACGATGCAAACATTTGTATTCATAAGTATAACTGTTTGTAAAGACCATTAGAATTTATTAGAATATTAATAGTAGGTATCTTACTTCTACTCGACTCTTGAGGTCATCTATTTTAACATCAGTATCATAGATTACAGATTTTATATGGTTGCGTTGTTGCCTTAACTGTTTGCTTAAGTCACGACGAACGCTTTAAAAAAAAAGTGTATTTCTTAAAATTTGAATTAAGTTTTTTTTTAAAGTAATTATACAAAAATTAAAAGACACTAACATTTTGTTTTTCGCTTCATCTTCACACAAAAGTGGCAAGTGGTCATTTCGGTGTACTGCTTGATTGACAAAGCCCACGAGGCATTGAAAGCTGTTGTGAAGAGCTAGTTCCGTGTAAGTCGAGATCATAACGTTGGCCAAATATTTTCTTAGTAGAAAAAAATAATATTACTCGATTACGGTTAAACAGTAACATTTGTGAATAGTATACTGATATTGTATTGAAATATGGTATACTGGTATAGGTGTAAAATAAATAAATTGAAAAACCGTTTATTCTATGGCTCTACAATTTAATTAAAATAATATTAATAATATTCTACCAGTATGAAATGATAATGATGATGATGAATATTATTTTTGTAATAGGTAGTGTTATGTCTTTTTTTGCGGGCAGTTTTGGAATCGATCATGGATTTGTAAGCACTTTCTATTATATTACGTACTGCAAATGTGTGGAACAAGCTACCAGTCACTGATATAACATATAATATTGATTTATATGTATTTGTCTAACCTATCGGCAACTAATTTCTTCAATTTATACTCCATGCAACCAAGGTTCTGATGGTCAATCCCATCCAACTCGTCAGTTGTATCAGGTTGTTTCACATTGAATTTCATTGCCAGGAGCAGTGGTTTATCCGTCTTTGTTTTATGTATACGTAACTCATTATTACATTCCGCTAAGTAATATGAAATTAATCTATATTAATCTTTACTAAAATTATAAATGCGAAAGTAACTCTGTCTGTCTGTCGCGCTTTCACGCCAAAACTACTAACCCGATATAAATGAAATTTGGCACACAGATAGACTTATAATCTGAGAAAGGACATTAGCTACTTTTTAATGCGAAAAAGGATTGGAAGGGGTTGAAAGGGGAGATGAAAGGTTGTATGGAAATTCGTTATATATAAAGCTTGAACGATGAAACTTTTTTTTTTTACTTTTTTATTTTCGATTATTAAATATTTTTTCTTTATTTAGTCGAGGTCACTATTCCATGCAGACAAAGTCGGAAAAAATGGGGGAGGCCTTTGCCTAACAGTTATAAATTATTTATATTAATTTATAACTGTATAATAATAATATTTTATTTTTTATTGTTACCTAGAATACGTAGCCCATTTAGAGTCTCTTCAAGAACTGTTGCAAACATTGAAGACTGCAGATATGTTAGACTGTGAAAATATAATAAATAAAGAAAATATTTTTTTACACAACTTGTAATTTACGAAATTTCATATTTCAGTACTAGCTGCGAGTTAAACGGGTAGGTTCAACTTACTAAACAATAATTTAATAAAACATTAAAAAAACAATGGCCAACGGACAACACCATAAGCTGTTTCTGTTCTATAGTTGGACTTTACATTTTTACTGGACTAAAATGTAAGCGGTTGTAGAAAGCACTCCAAACCCTGTGAAAGAATTTACGGAATTATACGCCATAATATCAACAACGGTGATGATTAGAAAACAAACCAATGTTCTTTTTCTAGATTTAATGCAGTGTTTTCTTTGTAGAATATCTTTACTTCTTTGTCTCGAATATTTTGAGCAACTGCACTTGGTTCCTACAAGAAAAACAATAGGTTCAGTACCTAATAATTTAGTTTTTAAATGGTGAAATGCTTCTTTCACGTGTAGATATATATTATATACATACTTACAAAATATAAACAAGTGACTAGTATTGTTTGATCCAATGATACAAGGTACCTACTTATGTATATTAGGTACTTCCTATGTATAAATTAAATGTAGGTAGAAACGTAAATAGTATGGTAGTACATACGTATAAATTAAATGTGGCGAAATAGTGGAGTTTACAAGAGTATTGTATTGTACAAAATACTCACACGTGTGATCTGTAATACCCTTTTTTCTTCAGGTTCACTTATAAATGTTATTCCACAACCCCATGTATTCTTCTCTACTCTTAACACGCTGCTGCGAGCCATATTACCATTTGATAACTCTATTAGAAACTGCTTATTATCAGGTACCTACCAGTTTTTAAAAATATAGTTGTATTTAATATATAAATTATTTAAGCCAAAAACAAAGGTTTCATTGACACTGTCAGACTTTATATTTTTAATAGTCTTTGATTTTTATAGTCTTCATTGTTATTTAGTCTTAGTTACATATGTCATTTTGCATTTTAATGGGATGAATTTAAATTGGTTAGGTATAATTTTATAATAAATATTTAGTGTTTTTTTGCTCTGTAGGGGTGAGAAAGTAAATAATGATAAAGTTACAAAATATTGAAAACAACACCCACTGCGTTGAAATGAATAAACTAAAATAAGAAAAATAAGTATGTTTTATTATTGTTTATATTTATTAGGTATATTAATTAGACCTTTGTTAAATCATATCAAATTAAATCGAAAAAAAACCTAAACTTTAAAAATAAATTACTATGATACAAACACAAAATTAAATAAAAATAATAAATAATCTATGAAATCATAAATAAGTTCTATATAGGTATTACAAATATCTCAATCTTGTCTTCTTGGAAAATGCACTTTGTGCCAAGCAATATAAAAAAAACTCAAATTATTTATTTTTCTTTTTTCCAGCGGGAGCGCCCTTTTTCTTGGGTAAAGGCTTATAAGGTCCAAGTTGATTACGCACAAGCAGACCACGCCACCACGCCTGCACGATTACAGCGGCGTTGTTCATCTTCTCCCGATACAAACGAGCTTTTTCACGTTCATCTTTGAAATTTATCCAATTCTTCATTAATTCATCATGGTCTTGTATCTGTGACGCGAAGAAATATTTTCATTAAATAACGTATTAGGTACATGTTATTTAATTAAGCAGTTTACTTCTATAAATTATAATTTATTTTTAGAGGCTATAAATATTAATAGTATGTTTACATATAATTCGTCCAATTATCATATAATTCGGCATATACACAATCTCAGTAGTAATCGAACTAATATAAATACAGATTACATACTTTATTTATAATTAGCTAGGAACACGAAGATTAGAGATAGATATAGAGATTTAATAAACAATATTTTCTCGTTTATTAAAATAGCGTTAATTTTAGAAGTTAATTCGTCACGAGCATCGCCATCTGAATATAACACACAAACCACAAATAAGGTAAAGGCTAGAAACTTGATTCTATGTGCGAATCGATAACTGTACAACACTAGTACCGTTTTTTCCAAATTAATTCTCTTTTCATAAGCATTGGTATGGTTGTTCTTCGTAATTTGAATTCTGAGGTCGATTGCCTCCATGTCTTGGTCGTATTTATTCATCCAAGCCTCAACTTTCTGCAACGTTTCCTAATAATAAATATAAACTATTATATTATCAGTGGTTTAAAAAAAAATTTTTTAAGCATGATATTTTTTTAGCTGCTGTCTGCGATTTTCCATATGAGTCGTCGATTAGTATCAATAAGTTTAGAAAACTGATAAGAAAGATTTTAAACAATACATTTCTAAACTTAGTAGTTTGGCTGTACGTTGTTAGTCAGGGCAAACGATTTTTTGTAAGTAGGTACTATATAATATCTACATTTATAGATTTTCCTTTTAAATTATTAAATAGAAAAAGTAACAGGCCACAACAGTTGCTAAGTTAATAATGGGAATTGGGCCACTCCCAATTATTAACAATATAGTATATTGCTTTTTAGTTCACCCCCCACGCAGTCCCCCTGGAAACCATCGCCCTAATGAATTCACCACGATGGGCTAACTGACCTGACTTCATTCTCATCCTATCATCCTGCATTGGTGTCCCGCCAGGGTATACAGTTAGCGCTGGCGGACGCAAAATTTCATTATCATCCATTAAAAAACCCGTGGTAGATATCTCTGATGCTTTACTATTCCTGAGCAACGAGGTTGTCTTTATACCTTGGAATTTAATAAATAAAATACTCCACGTACATTAACAGAAATAGTCATAAGGAGTTCCACTTCTGTATGAACTCTTTGTTCATGGTCGCTCTTCTGTTTGTAGTACTCTATGGCTTCTGTGGGTGCTATCTCTTTGTCATGGATAACCTGGTGGTGCTGTTCAGTTCGCGCGTTCTGCCAATTTTGGACATACCGACTTCGGATCTCTGCATTTAAGGCTGCATCCTGGCATATAAGATATACTTTGTAAGAATTCTAAAATAGAAGACCTTAAACCCGAATCCTACAGTCCCCTCCCCCGCACGCCTGTGATGGAGGATTTCAAACAGTCTTTAAAATATTCGTCTAAAGTTAACTGTTAGTATTTAGGTATTTTGACGTCCACGGTGGTTTACCATATCGCCCCGATGGCCAGTTTTAATTTTTCTCACGATACAAACATTTGTATTCATGAGTACGATTATTTATATCGGTCTGGGTGTTTTCTACTTATATATTGACAAAAATCTGTATCTAAGTAGTTCTATCAGTTGTATAGTATCCATAATACGAGCTCAGACTAGTTTGGGACTAAATGGCGCTGTGTGAATTGTCCAGATATATAATTATTATTTACGTACTTCCACCTGTGTCTTCAGATGTTCAATAGCCACATCAGTGTCGTACATGACCGATTTGACGTGATTGCGCTGCTGCCTATACTGTCTGTTTAAATCGCGACGTAGACTGTGAACATACAGAATAAATATAAAACTCGTTAACTGATTTTTTAGGGTTACGGAGACTTGTGAGGTTATTATGTACCAAAAGCAGTTGCTAACAATACTCATCTTACTAATATTATAAACGCGAAAGTTTGTGAGTATGAATGGATATTTGTTACTCTTTTAACAAAAACTACTGAACGGATTTTGATGAAACTTTACAGTAATATAGTTTATACATTAGAATAACACATAAGCATAATGTAAAAAGATATATAAATTGGGCCAATATAATGATAAATGTCAAGTAAGCGTGATGCAGACAAACTGCGCGGGTCAGCTGGTTTGTTTTTGTACATTACATTACATTACATTATATTACATTACATTTGTATGTAATTTTATATAAAACTAGAGGGTGCGTGTGTGCGCGGGCCTCACGCGGCCCGCGAGGCGTTGTCGTAGATTTTTTTTGTGAAGACGGTTTTCTTTTCGAATAGACTTGGTTGGCAAGTAGAGTTGTCTGTTTTGATACGAAATCATTCATGTGACTTCAAATTGTAACAGTGTGGCAAAACTTTATGTTGTAATGTTCACAATACAAAACCTAACCTAACCTACCTTTCTGTATACTATATTAGTCTAGGGTCAAGTTTTTAATGTAGAGATTAACCTACCTTTTTGTTTACTATATTATTCTGAGGGCATAATTTCTACTGTAAGAGTCGCAATAGAAATCCTAACCAAACGTAACTTTCAGTATACCATTTCGACCTGTGGCTTTAATTTTTATTGCAATAGGCACAATACAAAACCTCACATTACCTACCTTTCTGTATACTATATTAATTTGGGTTCACAGTTTCTAATGTAGAGATCATAATACAAAACCTAACCTAACCTACCTTTTTGTTTACTATATTATTCTGAGGCCATAATTTCTACTGTAAGAGTCGCAATACAAAACCTAACCTAACCTACCTTTCTATATACCATATCGACTTTTTATTTTTTTTTATTTTGGTTTAGCTACCCGGGTGACAAAACCATTTCGTCCATACATTGTCAACTTCTTCTAATGTTTACTATGAAAACCGTTGTAACAACTTACATCGGTTTTCATAGTAAAGTTTTCCAAATAATTTTGATAAAAGCCTTAGTTATTATTTATCGTAGGTAAAGGACCTATGATAAATAATAACCACTCAACACTCTTTTAATTAAAATATCATAAATATTAAAATCGGGGAAAGTTTTTAGCGCTGGCAATACTGAGATTCATTGCCATCCCATAAAAGAGGACTCGCTGCATGGTAACCATGTACCAAAATAAAATATCTTCCAAATTTTGTTCAAAGTCAACCTCGGCGGCCATCTTAGATTTTTCCATTTTGTTACTTCTGACATATATATTACATGACGACAGATATATTTCGTCCATATATTGTACAGAGACACGGTCCTTTTAGTCGGTCCTTAGTAAATATTACTTTCTACTATTATGCTTGGTGTTGCCACCTAATTTTACAAAGTAATCGCATGAAACTATTAAGATAAGATTTATTATAGATCCCCGTCACTTTTATGTTTAAATGTCGAAAAATAATTTCCCACATTTAAGGTTTGCAAAATTACCCAAAAATCGGGGAAAATTTGTAGCCTACATATATAATACTTCACGTCTTTGCTCCATAGAAGTAACTTGCTGTAAGGAATAAAATAGTACCCCAAAAATGAGTTTTAAAACGTCACTAAACTTATTTTGTGAAGACGGTTTTCTTTTCGAATAGACTTGGTTGGCAAGTAGAGTTGTCTGTTTTGATACGATTAGATGACTTCCTATTGTAACAGTGAATTTTTGTTTCACGTGTACTATCCTGTGACGAAACTTTGTATTGTAATGGTCACAATACAAAACCTAACCTAACCTACCTTTCTGTATATTATATTAATCTGGGGTCAAAGTTTTTAATGTAGAGATCATAATACGAAACCTAACCTAACCTACCTTTTTGTTTACTATATTATTCTGAGGCCATAATTTCTACTGTAAGAGTCGCAATACCATACCTAACTTAACCTACCTTTCTGTATACCATTTCGACCTGTGGCTTTAATTTATTTTTATTTTATTGCAATGGTCACAATACAAAACCTCACATTACCTACCTTTCTGTATTAGTATACAGAAATGTATGCTTGGTGTTGCCACCTAATTTTACAAAGTAATCGCATGAAACTATTAAGATGAGATTTATTATAGATCCCCGTCACTCTTATGTTGGTGTATGGGTGTTGCCAGAAGATTTTGACAAAAACCACCTAGGACCCTTTGGGGGATGATTTTGACCAACGCTCATAACTGTTTTGTTCAACTTAAGGAAAAAAAAATTCCCACGTATTTTAATTTTTCTCCGAAACTACCCCAAAATCGGGGAATTTTTTTAGACCAGGTTATATTCCCCATCGAGAGTTCCCACTGCTCCATAAAAGTCCACTCGCTGCAAGGATTAATGGTACCCCAAAATTGAATTTTAAAAAGTCCCTAAAATTGTCAACATATATTAAGTACCCTAACTCGGCCGCCATCTTAGATTTTTACTTTTTAATAATACTTTTGACGTATTCACCCTAGTGACAGAAACATTTCGTTCATACATTGTATAGAGCCTCAGTGACTCCTTCTAGTACTATTCTCTAAGAAAACTGATGTAAGGTGTTGCCAGATAATTCTGACAAAAAACACCTAAAATCAATAGGGGGATTGTTTTTGACAGATTTTCATCATTCTTTTGTTTGAAATGTCCAAAAAATATTTTTCCACTTTTTAGGACCTATCTCAAAAATTACCCTAAAATCAGGGAAAATTTTTATACCAGGTAATACTTTGTGTTGAGACACATCATCTCTCCATAGAAGTCGACTGGCTGTGGGGTTGGCAAGTGTCCTAAAACTACATTTAAAAATATCCCAAATTTTCTCCGAAAAGCAAAACTCCCCTATCTCTGCCGCCATTTTGGATTTTTACTTCTTAATACTTTTGACGTATTCACCCTAGTAACAGAAACATTTCGTCCATACACTATGTAGAGCCTCGGTGACTTCTTCTTGTACTATTCCCTAAGAAAACTGATCTGAGGTGTTGCCAAATAATTGTGACAAAAACCACGAAAAACCCATAAGGGGATGATTTTTGACAGATATCCATCATTATTTTGTTTGAAATATCGAAAATCGTATCGTATCGTCCATATATTGTACAGAGACACGGTCCTTCTAGTGGGTCCTTAGTAATATTACTTTTTACGAAAATCGATGCATGGTGTTGCCACCTAATTTTACAAAAAATCGCATAAAACTATTAAGATGATATTTATTATAGATCTCCGTTGCTCTTATATATAGCTTGTCGAAAAAAAAATCCCACATTTTGGGTTTGCAAAATTACCCAAAAATCGGGGAACATTTGTAACCTAGGTAATATTTCGAACCGAAATCTACCACGGCTCAATAAAGGTCGACTCGCTGCAGGGAAACCAGGTAAATTTATCATCAGAGATAAAATACTCAAACTCGGCCGCCACCTTGGATTTTTCCTTTTTTAAATACTTTTAACTTATCCACTTTGGTGACAGAAACATTTTATCCATACATTGTACAGATGTAAGGTGACTCCTTCTAGTAGTTCCTTAGTACTGTTTACTATGAAAATTAGTTAATACTTCGCACCGAGAGTTTCTATTCCTCAATAGAAGTCAGTTCGCTGCAGGGTTGATAGGTGCCACAAAACTGAATTTACTAAAAAGACCTTAAAATTGTCATAATAAATAAAGTATCCTAATTCGGCCGCCATCTTGGATTTTTCCTTTTTAAATACTTTTAACACATACATTTTGGTGACAGAAACACTTCATATATATACATTGTACAGAGCCCAGGTTACACCTCTAGTTCCTTAGTACGGTTTACTATGAAAATCGATGTATGGTGCTGCCAGATGATTTTGACAAAAATCACCTAGGACCCTTTGGGGGATGATTTTGGACCAACGCTCATTACTGTTTTGTTCAACTTAATGAAAAAAAATTTTCCCACGTTTTTTTACCATTCTCCGAAATTACACCAAAATCGGGGAAAATTTTTAGACCAGGTAAAATTTTCCACCGAGAGTTTCCATTGCTCTATAGAAGTCAACTCGCTGCAGGGATAAATGGTACCCCAAAATTGAATTTTAAAAAGTCCCTAAAAATGTCAACATAAATTAAGTACCCCAACTCGGCCGCCATCTTAGATTTTTACTTTTTAATACTTTTGACATATTCACCCTAGTGACAGAAACATTTCGTTCATACATTGTACAGAGCCTCGGTGACTCCTTCTAGTACTATTCTCTAAGAAAATTGATGTAAGGTGTTGCCAGATAATTCTGACAAAAACCACCTAAAATCAATAGGGGGATTGTTTTTGACAGATTTTCATCATTCTTTTGTTTGAAATATCCAAAAATTATTGTCCCACTTTTTAGGACTTATCTCAAAAATTACCCTAAAATTGGGGAAAATTTTTATACCAGGTAATACTTTGTGTTGAGACACATCATCTCTCCATAGAAGTCGACTGGCTGTGGGGTTGGCAAGTGTCCTAAAACTACATTTAAAAATATCCCAAATTTTCTCCGAAAAGCAAAACTCCCTTATCTCTGCCGCCATTTTGGATTTTTACTTCTTAATACTTTTGACGTATTCACCCTAGTAACAGAAACATTTCGTCCATACATTATGTAGAGCCTCGGTGACTTCTTCCTGTACTATTCCCTAAGAAAACTGATCTGAGGTGTTGCCAGATAATTTTGACAAAAACCACCAAAAATCCTTAAGGGGATGACTTTTGACAGATTTTCATCATTCTCTTGTTTGAAAAGTCGAAAAAAAAATTTCCCACTTTTTAGGACCTATCTCAAAAATTACCCTAAAATCGGGGAAAATTTTTATACCAGGTAATACTTTGTGTGGAGACACATCATCTCTCCATAGAAGTCGACTCGCTGCGGGGTTGCCAAGTGTCCTGAAACTACATTTAAAAATATCCCAAATTTTCTCCGAAAAGCAAAACTCCCCTATCTCTGCCGCCATCTTGGATTTCTAAAATTTCATAATTTTCCCTAGGGGCCGGGTCCTTCGGCTATCCGACGCCGCACAGTGCGTTGAGCTAGCACACTCGTAGGTACCCTATCAATTTCAGTTTTTAAAGCTAGACCTCAATTTCAAAATTTGTCCCATGATGTATGGGTGTTGCCAGCAAATTCTGACAAAATCCACCTAAACCCCTTCAGGGGACGATTTTTGGTAGACCAACAAGACTTTTTCATTTAAAATGTCGAAAAAAATTTTTCCCACTTTATGGGACTTTTCTCCAAATTTAACCCAAAATCGGGGAAAATTTTTAGCCCTGGCAAATCTTCTTACTGGGACTTACCCATGTCAGTAGGTGGCGTTTAGCTACGGGGTTGCCATGTGCAGCAAAAACGCGATTGAAAATATCCCAAAATTTTTCCAAAAACTAAATCTCCCATAGCTTGGCCGCCATCTTGGATTTCTGAAATTTCATAATTTTCCCTAGTGGCCGAGTCTTTCAGCCTCCCAATGCCCTACAATAGGGATCGGTAGCATCCCCGCAAGTACCCTAGGAATTTCAGTTTTTGGAGAGACACCCCAATTTCTATTTTGGTCATACCATGTATGGGTGTTGCCAGCAAATTCCAACAAAACCCACCTAAAACCCTTTAGGGGATGTTTCTCGATAGGCCTTGATGCTTCTTTTGTCAAAAATGTCGAAAAAATTTTTTCCCACTTTTTGGACCATTTCTCCCAAATTACCCCAAATTCGGGAATTATTTTTAGCGCTGGCAATACTTTATACCGAGACCCATCATCGCCCCATAGAAGCCGACTCGCTGCGGGGTTGCCCTGTACCTAAAAAATGACTTTGAAAATAATCCGGATTTTTAGGACCAATTTCACACGCCCCCAACTCGGCGGCCATCTTGGATTTTCGAAATTTCATAATTTTCCCTAGAAGTCGAGTCCTTCGAGTTTCCTATGCTCCACAACCGGTGTCGCCAGTACCCCCGCAACTACCCTGGGAATTTCGGTTTTTGAAACCCTAGAAAATTTTCAACCAGTTTTTGGCAATTTTTTCGCGGCCATCTTGGATTTTAATTTTTTGTTTTTACGCCACATTCTGGGTCCCGCCGAGACGTGCCAAATCACTCTTTGAACGGAATCGATCCGAGCGAAACTGTAAAAGTTAGCCGCCATCTTTGTCCGCCATCTTGGATTTTCCCAAATTTCGGAATTTTCTCGTGGTCACCCTAGCCAAAGGAACATTTCCCCCATACATCGTCACGACCCCCCGGCACTCCTTCTGGGAGAACAACTATGTCAATCAGTGAGTGAGTCACCGTAATGCAGCTTTATATATTATAGATATGGCCAATGCCAGTCCTCGTGATTTCGTGAAAAGGAACAAACTGACAAATGGACACTTTATATTAGTATGGATTTACAACAGTTCGTTAAAGTTTAGTTGATCTATCCAGCTCGAAGGACCAATATTTGATTAACACAATCTAATGATTCTGGCAATAATTTAATGTTTATATAGATATAAAGCCGGATTGAAAATTACAAGTATCCAATCCTTACGCTCTATTCTTAGCTTCGTCTTGAATAAGGAGTGATTTCTGCTCTATACGGTTCACAATATATGCGACGTATTCTGCTAGTGCAGAGTAGTTATTGTTCAGAGACAGGCCCAAGTATGTATCCGTCAATACGGTCCCGAAGTAATTCCTGCAAAAAGTACCAAAATTATTGGACGTAGTATAATATCTTGTGTTACAAAAAAATGTTGTATAGGTACGTGAAGTAAATCTAAATACATATATATAACTCAAAGGTGACTGACATAGTGATCTATCAAAGCACAGCCCAAACTACTGGATGGATCGGGCTGAAATTTGGCACGCAGGTAGATGTTATGACGTAGGCATCCGCTAAGGAAGGATTTTGATTAATTCTACCCCTAAGGGGATAAAATAGGGGATGAAAGTTTGTATGAAACTTTGTCAATTTTAAACCGATCGGGCTGAGACTTTGCATGCATAAAGCTACTATGACGTAGGCATCCTCTAAGAAAGGATTTTGATAAATTCCACCCCTAAGGGAATAAATTAAAGCGAGCGAGGCCGCGGGCAAAAGCTAGTTAAATATAGCTGAAATATAATCAGCAAATTCATTGGGTAAGTGTTTTTGAATGCATGATCATGATAATCCATTAATTTGCGCTATCAGAATACGCTGGTGGGGCGCCTGTGGATTAAGATGGAACAAGTATGAAGTCAGTTGCCTCATTGTGGCAAATTCACAAGGAAATAACGATTATTTCTGAACCCTATGGATGTCGACCGGATTTTGATTTTAATGGGGCCTCATTGCTAGCAAAATCAGGTTGTCTGGGTCAGCCCATTAGTAATAATTCATCTTGAAAAATTGATTACCAATTCCAGACGGATACAGATTATGTTGGGCCTACATCAACATAACATAAATTTCTTTTAAAGGTTGTGTGCATAGCGGTATGTATGTTGATTGTCGCGTTCCTAATCCTTGTTAATGTGTATTTACTTTTATTTAAAAGAGCAACACTGAAGTTCTTCTTGTGATGACTCTGCGTTCCGAATGAGTGGTAAAATAAAGAAAATATCACGATTTAAAAGTGCTTATATTAAGTTTATTTGAATAAAGACTATTTCCATTTCTTTAGTAGAAAGTCAGTCCGCATTATGACTCCGCGTTACTAATAAGCCATGTAGTAGATTATCAATCAAAGTTACTAATATAGTACAATTATTACACTCGAATATTCACTATTGTAATACAGAAAAAAATAAAATAGCGGCGCCTTATCACATCATAAATAACTCCACAGTGGTGATGTGATGTCGCGTTATAATGTCGGTATATCAAGCCAAAGTTCATAATAAAGAAAAGAACCTATCAGCCTCCAATTTGTTCAGCTTATATTCGATACAATCCAGCTTCTTGGGATTGACGTTCTCAAGTTCATCAGTGACAGCCGGCTGCTCCACGTTGTACTTGAGGGCGCGAAGACGTTTCAGGTCTACCATTGTTTTGCTTAGCCGCATTTCGTTGTTGGACTCCTCTGAGGTAGTTAAACAATATTTTAATATAATTATTTTGGTACATATTCATATATATGTTTACCAGTATTGTGCAAAGGGGATTGTAAGTACCTAGTGGAAACTAATGACTCCATTGCTGGCAATGTACATATGTACATTATTACGTAACGTACCTATATTAGCGCAGGCAAGTTCACCGTTTCATATTAATAAAAAATATTATTAGCATTATATAAAAAATATTGGTATATGTAGCAGTACCTACAATTTTTTATAATTTAATAATTTTTTAAATTATATTTTATTATCAGATAAGATCTTGATTTTATTACGGAAAATTAGCAGACCGTTCGACATACTTACTATCGAAAAATATTTTTATTACAAGAAAATAAAGGATTGTCGATAAAACTGCCTTTTGTAAAATTATTGTGATAATTATTATCTATGTCTGATGCAATAAATAAAAAAAGGTTTAGATAAAATCTCTGTTATGAATATTTACGTAGGTATAACAAGGATATCTTCAACTAACTTAGTATCCGATGTTGAGTAATGGTATCTTCCAACACTGATGCAAACAAGCACGCATGGAAATACGGCAAACTGGAATTATAATGTGACAAAATATAGTAGGTATACTAGCTAACCCGACAGACATAATCTTGTTTTAACGAATATTGAATTTGGATTGGTATATTTTATTTATTTAAAATTAAAAAATCCGCGGAACTTCATAGGAACCACCTCCTGTCATTAACAAAAAAGAATTAGCGAAATCTGTCCAGCCGCTCAAGGGCCGCCGTGACAAAGTGAAATAATATATAGAGATTTTTTCTTTGCATTATGATTGGGCCAATGATATTACAAATTGTTTGCATTAGTCATTTAGGAATATATTATATATAGCGCTTTAACAGATACTAGTCACGTCATGTAAACGTTTCAACTTTAATGATCTGGAATCCTAAAATGGTTAAGGAAGATTAAATTATAATATTTCAACCCAATTAAAACCCGATATTTATGTAAAGATAAACAATATACATTGCCCACGATACAAACCCATAAGGGTCCACTGCAGGTTGCGCATCGTCATCCAACGGAACGGAATAATTTCGCATATCATCCAAATTCTGATTAGAGACATTCATGGCAAAAAAATATTTATAAAAAAATCAGGAGGGTGCCGCAAGCCCCTTGTAAAAACATTCGTAAAATGATGACTGTCAGAATGACAACGGCATATATAGTAAGTAGGTACTTAGCTGAAAAATATTTGAAAAGCTTATAAATTAAAAACATTGCCACTCAAAGTAACATAATTTTGGGATAAAGATATTCAGATAAAAAGGAATCACCATTGAAATATTTCATTATTTATATTTTAGAAAAATAACTGTATAATATAGGTATATACTATTTTTTTCCCATACTCGAATACTACTACTCGCAATATTATGCGGAAAAGCTCCATAGAGGTTGCATTCTTTATTTTTTACTATAGAAATAAAATAATATACTAAAACTAAAACGTGCTAAAAACAATTCTATTAATAATGACACATTCTTTTAGGTAATTGAAATCACAAATACGCTGACGGCCCATCTGATGGTAAATGGTAACCGTCGCTTACGTACATGTATACATGGACATCACGTCATTATCTGACATATATATATATATTCTAGAGGACTAATATGTCATAGTTGTTAGTGTAATTTTACTGACGACTAAAATAATAAATAAAGATGCCTAACACAGCGCCATACTGATATATATACCTGCTATGTATTTATATAAATACATAGCAAATATCCAGACCGATACAAACAATCATATGGATGAATACAAATGTTTGTACCCTGCGAGAAATCGAACTTGCGACCATCGGAAGTAAAGCGGTGTGCTAGACTGCTAGACCACCGAAGCCGTCTAATGATATGAAATCAAATTTATGTGACTGTAGTTTCATTGACTTGCTTTTCGTCCATTCATTCATTCATTTCATTTCAGTAGCTTTTCAACCCCAGAACCAAGTTGATTCTTAATAAATAGGCTTCATAATACAACTTTCTTAACTACCATAGTAGTTTCCGACCGGGAGGAAATAATTAACGATAAAGCCTCTGGCTCGGGGACTATAACTACCACCACCAAAACACTGCCAATTCACTATTACCACAGATAACACAATATTACATACTATTACTAATTTCTCAAAGTATATAATAAAACCAAAATTTATAAATGATATTATTTAATATCTGCATTGGTCATAGTATTTTTATAGTTGACTTCTCACGAAACACGGTTATTTAATGTAACAAACATATGATACACATGTTGTGAAGTATAGTATATCTAATTACTTTTTATATTATTATGAATACAATTGTAGGTGAAGATGCACATCTCTAAGTATCCGTAATTATAGGTAGGCCGCTGCCAGACAAATTGAATATTCTAATACGTACGTACGTATATGTAGATTACATTATATTTCCCTTTTTTTATTCTTTTAGGTGAAAGGAAAGAATATACATCATCATACGTCATACAGCCATGTCCGTAATATTTTTACCTAGATAGGACACTGATCATTTTACATTTGTCTTATATTTCAATGCACATATAAGTTTCAATAAAAAACAAAACTACTGTGTGTTGAACATCTAATGGTTCTAAACAAAATCTATTCATATTTTATAGTTGCAGTTACACGATACCAACTGCTGTTAAAAGTTAATATAGATATATTGCTAAACTTTTAATTTTACTCTATTTAAAATAAGAAACGATGCCGATAATAAATCGTATTTGAATATTCTATTATATGTCTGGAGCGGGCTTTAAATTGGAAAAGATATTAGTCTGAGTACAGGAAGTTTAAAAACATGAGATATTTCAGCAATAGTTTGGGATCAGTTATTTTTAAGAATTACTCAGAGTTAACTTGGTAATTACTTTATGAACTGAGATCCACTAGTAGTATTATAATTAAATATTTATAATTACAATCAATTAACCGGATCGCATCACACGAATGAATGAATCACAAAAAATAACTTTTAACATACTTAAAATTAAAAAGTTTACGCGATAAATTCATATCTAAATAATCATTTATCTAAAATTTGTATAAAATTCAATACTATATTTTTTACACAATTTATACACACCATAAATATATTCTTACAATTAATTTGTAAACATTCAAATCGTCAAGTTTTGTATTTACACACAAATACAAGACTTCAATTGCAGAAGATTGCTTTTGTAGGGTTAATAGTTGTTGTATCATTTCAAAATACAGATAATGAAAAGAATATAACAGTAATAACGAAAATAAACAGCTTTTGTTTAAATCTGATATCCTTAGATTATATGTATACATAAAAAATCAAATTCAATCGTATTATAGAAATTGTCCAGTTTTCAAAATACTGTTTTGAGTTGATACAGTCCACCATTAACCCATTATTACACTTATTATAAATTATGTCTAATAAATGACATTAATCTTAACATAAACAGTGACTGTAATTCGTTATATACATTGGTGGATTGGATACAATTTAATAAATATAAAAAAACCTCATTTACAAGCAGCAAGGTCTTATTCAGTCTTGAGCCATTCACACGAAATGTCCGCTGGTGTTAATATTGCTTAAGTAGGCAACGTTGATAAATATAAATTAATACATATCAGAGATAGGTTAAAATCAAGAAAGAGATAAAACATTAAAAAAACGGTCAGCGCTTTTCATTTAAGAATATTAAGATGGAAGAATAATAGTTATGATTTCGTTGTTTGTTTTAAAATTCATTTTGTTGACGAAACTCTTCGGTCTGAACTAAACGAAACTATTCACGCATGAATAAAAAAACGTAATAGTTTCCACAACAGTAAAAAGTTAGTATGTAAAAACAATGTGAATATATCGTAACACTCTTATTCATAAAAACATCAAACATCTAACTTAATTATAGTTATTGAACTTTTTTCGTCTTTTTTTTTCGACCCATTTTCGAAATTAGCCAGAAATTGACAAAAAAAAAGTGAAAACGTGTCTTCAACTGCGTTTAAATTTTTATGAATAGGGAGTTAGACAAGAAACAATAATTAGGAATGAAAAAATGTAACATTATTAAAAAATATATTAACATTTTATGTATATGAACTAATGAGCTGTTACGAATATAAGAAAAAAACAAAGCAGATTTCTGTAAAAAAGAATGTCATATACGTACATTATTTATAAACTCAAATCATCCAAGTTACCATTTTATCAAAGAACATAAACATGTTTAAGTAAATATTCATAAGCTGTAACAACTTTAATCATTAACAAATAGTATAGTATATATAAAATATTAGTATTTACAGAAGTTATAAATAGCGTTTAACATCAGCGGACCGTCAAGGAACTTAAAGTTAAGTGAATTATTATATTATATTATAATAATACTCGTAGGGCTCGAAAATAAATGTAACATTTACAATATTTTTTATGTATAACGCCTTATAGATATATGACTATGACTGCTTACCACCACGCGGCACGCGGGTAGCATACTTGAAAACTTAATAATATTAAAAATCTATTTATACAAAGTACATAAATTATCTACCATTTATATTAATTACATCGTATTGGGCAACTTTGTATGTATAAATAGTGAAATGATTACTATTGTATGTATAAATAAAGTATAAAATTGAATAAATATAGTGCAGTCAACATATATGTATCTAAGTTAAATTACACATGTCTTTTAAAAAATCAAAAGACATGTAATTGAATCGCCAAAACCACTGCAACCTATTTAAATGACGAAAATAACCACTTTAACATTACATTTAATACATAGTCCATCAATACAATACATAATACATATTATATTGACGGACTATGTATTAAATATACATATTATTAATTAAGCCGTAATATTCAAGAGATGATCTATTAATTTTTAAGAAAATAATGTTTACAATGTTCAAAGTTACACAATACGAATATCATATTTATCGTCGTAAGATATTTACAAGCAATGTAGATTGGTTCGTAAACAGAATAAAAAATATGCAAATAAAACTATACTACATTTTGTATCTGTAATGTACATTTCAATTGGCACAGAGCAACATCGAGAACATAAAAATGTGATGGCTTTTTGGGTTACACTCATTGGCCTCCATGTAGGATTTTCCACAGTAAAAAAGACTGAAATTATTGTTATATAGAACTTTTTTCTTCTGGTTTTATTTTATTTATATATATTCATTGTATACCTCACAATAAGTTTTATACTTCTTAATTTCTTTCTTTTTGAATGTCAACTGTCAAACTCGGCTAAATATGTTATAGTCATTGTATTCAACTGCACAAGTAGTGAAAAAAATATAACAGAGCATAGTTATAAATATACAAAAAAAATCTTAGATGAAGACTATTTACAAGAAATATGGAAGTGTAAATATATTATCGTTTACTTGCATACATAGACTAAAAGTAATAGACAGACAGCTGACGAACTTGTACATTAAAATTTCAACGTTGGGAAACCAATGATGTTTTTAAAGCAGAATAAGCATTCTAAGTTGGCAAAATGGTCAAATTGTATCGTTAAGGATATTTGGTTATTGAAAAACATTTTTATGTTGAGAATTTAAAATTAATTTAACTTAAATATAAAGTCATTTTCTAGTGACGCAATTATAGCATACCTCCTTATTCTTAAAAACGTCAAACATTTTACAAACCTGTTATAACTATTAAATTGTGTTGACCTTATCACTCCAACCAGTTTCGTCATGTGAGTGTGAGTCATCATCAACATCAACATCAACTCAAGTGAGTGAAAGTGACAAAGCAAGGAGCGGGACATTGGCAACTAAATACGGACCAAGAGTAACCTGATTATGGTGACGCAGTTGGAGTCGAGTCACAACGCGAGTTACACAAGGCGTTTGTGGCTCGGGTATCAACATGCTGCCCACCTTCATGAAGAAAGACTACTGTCCGAAGGTTGCGGTTATATACAACCCGTATATCGGGGCAACCGTGGGTGATTGCCGTTGTGGCCGTGTCCACATAGACAATTTATATTTGATTATTATTTCATATTACAGTCAATCTATAAGGTATTTGTAATATGTGCCATGTAGCCTGAATTAAATAAATAAAAAAAATGTTAACTATTAAAATATGTTTGTACAACGTTTTAGTTTTTATAGATAAGAGGTTATTCTCTATAGAGGCGCAGTTTAATTTATGTACATAATTTAAGAGTAAGTAGGACCTTAACAAGTGAAAGATCACAGCGAAACACTAGACCTACGTGAGGCGTACTCCGAACATCCGACATCACTTGCTCGAGGACGGGTTGGCGCATTTTTCTGCAAAAAAAAGGTCGGTATTGAATGACAAACAAGATAGGACTTCAGTTTGTTATCAACATTGAGCAAATAAACACTATATTTCAAGAGTTGGGACACGTTCTTTTTAATCATTGCTCAGATTCGTGCCATTATTTCTGTCTTCTCTCCTTTAAGTTTTCTAGAATATTACTTAAACGATAAGACCGACTTGGTACCTTATTACTTTATTTTGTCTTTTTTGTAATTTATGCAATAAAGAGTTAGTAAATAAAAAAATCTTATCCTTATGAGAAAAAAATCTTCAAAATGAATCTATGCAACCAATCGCTTTTAAATATGTGATGCTAAAAAGTTTATGTGTATCCACTTTATACCAGTTAATTATTTTGTTCAAAGTGACTGCGGGAGTACTAATTTGAAAAATATTTAATAAAGTTTAATAGTCTTTGCAAACCGTCATTCAATTAGCTTTCGTTATGAAAATATAATATAGTGAAGACAATAATCACAACAATTAATTTATTTTGATTTTTAGTCCAGGTTTCTGGACCAAAAACGTGGGATTCCGAAGAAAATCCCACCAAATGCTGTTAAAAGTATAGGGCGTGTCTCTCACAAAAGGATACACTTCCAAACATTTTTGTTTAAATAGATAATAATGTTTGGGCAAAACAATGGATAAGCTATTAAAAACTATTCCTTGCGATGCAACGACGCATAAACAAGGCAAAGATAGCGATAACCAATATAATTAGTACAGCGTCCACAACAAACATAGCGTAACGCATTGTAGATATGACTAAGTGTAATTGCGTAGTATCCTAGCCATAATGTAGCCGGGGTTTACCGCAATTAAATACATAATTGAAAGGAGGAAAATGTGGGGACAAGGCTAGCGAATGTACAATCTGCGACACATTTAGCACGTGGTCTCCCTTCGGACGATACGCTATATCGCAAATAGTAGTGAGTAGTGATAACTTTGGTCACTGATAAAGGTGAATAACAATAATATGTCAAATACGTTGTTTGAGTTTCGTAGTTATTTAGAATTTCATTTATACCATCGCTGGTATAATAATAATAATAATAAACTCTTTTTTGTGCACATAAAATACAATAAGAAAAACTGTAAGTAGAAAATTAATAACAAAAGGCGGCCTTATCGCTATAACAAATTCTTACAGACAACCCAGAAGAGAGGACCAATGTACACAGAAAAAGTAGATGGCACACACAAGACCCTTTAATTATATTATTAAACAAAGAAATAGACATATATAACATAGGCATAAATACATATACATACACATATATGAACTATATATATTAGAAGGTTTCTAAGAAAGAAAAAGAACATGAGCTGTAGAGATAATGAGACTAGTCGATATTTACTTATACTTCTGTGTAATTTTTGAAGTAACAAAAACATTGCTGGGCACAGCACCCCCATTTCTGGCATGACCTTGCATATGTTTTACGGTTAAAAATATTTAATTTATTCAATATAAATTATGTATCTATATTTATTATTTTATCTATGATTATATTTGTACCGTCAACATTTGTTATCTGCACTACCTATTGACTGGTAGAAATTACAAGATGGTGTTAAGTCCGCTAAATTTAGTATTACTTTTTGTAATGTGTGCATTAAAGTTACAGTTATATATTAAATAAATATTAATTCTATTTCCTTTGGTCACTACATCACGAGTGGACGATTTCGCTAAATCTTCTTTTGTCGTGTTTATTATTGTTAGAAGGTAATAAAGAAAACAATAAGAACGTTTTGCGGAACATACAAAACTTAATGTGGTTGTTAAATTTTCTTTAATGTTTGCCTACTATGTACAATGTGCAGAGTTAATATTCATAGTCAAGACAGGCTCAGTTAGTAACAATAATAACCTACCTTAACCTTAATACTTACCTACCTATAACTATACCTACCTAGGTATAGATATAGGTAGGTAAGTATTAATAAATATGAGATGATTGGCAACAAACTATTCTGCAGTTTGCCGAGTTAGTCAGTATAATAAATGTATATGTCATTAATAAATAAATAATATAAAACAATAAATATTTTATTATTAATTACTCACTAAAACGTCGTTGCGCCTCCTCCCTTTCTTGAGCATCGAAATACCATAGAGTGATCGCGTATCTGAAAATAATAAATGAAATAATAAGTAATCAGATCGTCACGGATTATCATACCTATATAATAATAATCCAAAAGCAATAATCCAGGCATTTGAAACAAAACCTTATTATCAGTGAACATGACTCATTATTATACTGTCACACATCGCCTATGACATCACATCACATCCCTATTTCCACATATTCCGTAGGAGAAATATTAAATATCCCAGTATGTGTGGAATATAAATAGCTTTATGTTCTTATCAATGTTTAATTTTTAGAAAATTATTTGTCAATTCTATTTATATTCATTTTTTTTATTTGAAACTATTTTAATGCTATTGCCGACACCTGACCTTTACTGCTTCACTGAACGGTAGGGGGTTAGTACACATAGCACTCCAAACATTCGGACTTATAGTGTGGCTGAAATGTAACTCTTGCGTGACGGATACGACTTTAATCTAAGGGCAACGTTAGGGGTTCGAACCTACACTCAGGTCGTCGTAATTTCAATCTTCGTTTGATATTTATATTCCATTTCTAACTGATCGAATGTCTATATGAGCCGAGAGAGGCATATCATCTCAATTAGTACATATAATATGTCTAAAGCTATAATTACCTTGTATGATACGCTGGCTGAACTTCGTGAGGGTTCCGTCTGTCGGACCAGAAGAACAACATTCTGTCGAAGATAGGCGCTATGTCCGCCACTTGATTAGTGCCTTCAGGGAACACCCTGGAATGGAACCAAAATTAATTTTAGATATAGTGATAAATGTAGACGTACAGGCTACGACATGGAGGCATGCAACAACAAACGCTAGCAAATCATGGTTTATATTCACAGATTTCAATTAAAAAAGTAAAGTTACAATTAAATTATTTAAAAGAGCACCACGCAAGTTTTTTGTTCGTTCTTCTTGTGAAACAGCTTTCCAAATGAGCGGCAAATTAAAAAATTAAGTAAAGACTATTTATTTGAATAAAGAATTATTTATTCTCCTTTATTATATTCATGTAATCGCTAAGCTTAGTTAAGTTACATATTTTTTGGACTACTAATATAAATTGTCAGAAACTAATCGTACATTTATTTATTGTATCTTGAAATTATGCTTAACCATGCAATTGTAGGGGTCCGTGGACTGAAAAATGTTAAGCAACGGTGATCTAACACATTATAATTGCGGGTTGTAAAATAAATCTTAATTCGCTTGTAACTCAGTATTTTTAGACGCCCTAGTTTTCTATTTGTTTATATCGGTGGTCCATTAGTCTTTATCGTGATTTGAGCTTTAATTTTCAGCAGATACTAAAAGGGTCACATTTTCATGTCACTGAATAAAGGACTGTATTATTATACAACGCTTAGTACAAAATTCAACACAGATGATATCAGAAAAGGATTTTTCGTTTGGTACGTAGCAGGGTTGGCAACCTAGGAATACTTAACAAATTGGGCTTTTTTATATCGTATATTATTTTATACTGAGCAACTTTCGTATATTAATATCTCGTACAAACGTATACGAGGATAAAATTAAATATGCTGTGTACCAAAGGCCAAAAATCTCTCATTTGTCCTCATACGGTTGCCATCCCTGGTATGTGCTAATGGTAACTGGTTTAACAGCATCTAATAGTAGTGTCTTGTAACTATTTGCATTTAAAGTGGTCACAACGTCTTCACAACTTCGCACTTTTTACCCTATTTCCCGAAACTAAGCACTTCATAATTCATTTACTAAAATATATACGTATGTACCTAGCTGGTCATTCTCTATCTAGTGAAGAAACGCAAGTTCGTGCATTTATAAAGTTATTTTATTTAAAACTCATTATTGCATCTTTAATATAAAGCAGAATATACATAGTATATGTGTAGGTACAAAAGTACTTATCGCTTAAGCGATCTCTTCCTGACGACATTTGGTTAGAGCAGAAAAGACAGAAGATGGTGGATGGTGATGGTAGACGGTGGTGGATGCGTGGAATCAATACTACATTGAAAATACGTCTCAATACGACGAGTTACAGACTGTATTTTTTTTTATAATGTATGTTATTGGAATGGTGCGACTGCGCTAATGGCATACGCTGGCGGGGCACCAGTGGAGGATGAGTGTCATCTCAGGTCAGTTAGCCCATCGTAGCAAATCCACTAGAAATTTAGTATGATGGTTTCCAGTGGGAACTGCGTGGAGGTTAATCTGACATAGTTCATTGCTAGCAATGGGGTTATTAATCCACATTAGGAACAATACCTTTTCCCCAACAGACTTTAGTATACCAGAATACTACTCATTTGCTATGTAGTAAAAGAGGTAGTTATCAAAATGAGAAGCAGAGAAGTGAAGGGAGTGGAGTTTAAGATCAGATTAGCAGCTATGCTCTGGTGGTGCTCTAATCTTTCTTAATGCTACATTCAGTGCTACTGTATGAACTTTCCATTTGTATTTTCATAGGTCGCTGAGTTGCTAGATAAAAATTATTGGTTTCAAATTTCAATCATAAGATATGGACGCGTAAAGTTCAAATTCGTAATGCAGTAATATTACCTGAGTAATCCTCCACACCGCTTCACGTCCCAGTTGAGGTTGAGGTAGTATATAGCCGTGATGCATCGTCCGTCCTTATTAGGATTATCCACGTGCTTCACATAGTGACTACCAGAGCCTGGGTAGCACGCTACCATAGCCTGCAAATAAGTGGATTAAATATTTTTACGGTATACTAATTGGATTTATTTCTTGCTCTACACGTACATATTTGTACATTTGACGGTCTCGATGGTGTAGCGGTTTAACACGTCGCCTTACTTCCGATGTTCACGGATTCGATTCCTTGCGTAAACCGACGGGGCATGTTTTTTAATATTTACGAATCAGGTTATTTTCTGACAAATTTACTAGGTTCTAATATATTTAAACTTAATAAATAGTAATCTAAATACTTCTAATCCCTCTGCTAAGTGCTAAGAAAGTAATTTGACCGCCTCGTTGATCTAGCTGTTTAGCACACCGCCTTACATCCGATGGTCGCAGGTTCGATTACTCGCACAATACAACCATTTTGTATTTATGAATATGATTGTTTGTATCGGTCTGGGTGTTTTCTATGTATAATATGTATGTATTTAACTTGTGTCTAGATGGCGCTGTGTGAATTGTCCTGAAATTATTATTATTAATTTCGAAAATAGTCATAGGAACGGGAATAATGGGTATCACGCGAGTAAACTAATATGAAACAGCTAGTCAGAACATAGGACCACCCATGTTTCTGGTAATGGGCCACGTATGGTGCGGTTAATGTAACACACCGTTATCCGGTAGCTGGCAGTTAGCATTCATTTTGCGAACGTAAACTACACTTTCGAAGGTTACTACATGTCATTATCAGCTATTACTATACAGGTTAACGACCTATTCATAATATACATATGTAAAAATAGTTTCAAAAGATCATTCTTCTAACCAGTTCATATGTACTCGTAAATAATTCCATCTATACATATATTCAATGGGCCCCTTACACACACATCTGTACACAGTGACGAGGTGACGATGCTCCGCAGTGGTAGATCTGATATGCATTTTACTTTATTATTATATCGTAGATATAGGTTTTATATTTGTTTTTCTGTTGTTCTTTTTTTATATAATAAGTTATATGTTGCTGTCAGCATTGTTATTGTTTTGTAGTGATGTGTGATGTGTATGTATGAATGTGAATGTATTTTTTTTATTGACTATTTTGGGCTACCTGTCAGGTGCTAAGAACTGTAGCACTACGACCTGCTTTGATCTATTGTGATTGCTCTAAGATCATGTACAGACAGATAAGTTTAAACGTAACTTATCGCTGTATATATATATAAGAGAAATTATTGTTAAGTTAATTTAATAGGACCCAAAACTTTAAGAATTTGACATTTTTGCGCACATTATAAAACAGAACCGAACAACTACGTTTGTGGTTGTTGATTTTCATTTTTTATTCCGTAAAAACATTACTGCAGTTTATAGTGTCTACATATCCGCACATAGCCCCCAATGCCATCTAAATAATAGTTGTCTTTTAAAAAGTAATCAAGCAAGGGTCTCTAATGTAAATTATTACAGTGTGCAATAATTTTCTAATTTATAAAATTCTCATGTCACGGTGATTATAACAAAACTCCAAAACTGCTTGACCGACTCTATTATTTTATTGGTGTGTATATTCAGTAGGTAGTATTTTCATACCCCTATGTGATTAAGGTTGTCCAAGAATACTTTCTTTCTTTTTTTGGTCGTTTATGTTACGGCACTAAAAATACATAGGTACAGCTATAAATGTCTAAGGTGTTAAGTCTGCCATATACACCTTTATTTGTGCCTTTAAGCTTTAATTGATAAATATGAATAAATAAAGAGTGAGAACCCTTTTACCATCAATCCCTATAATTTTAATTGCTATACTTAAAAATAATTTATATCGCAAAACAATGTTTGCATGCCTGCTAGTAAATATATACATCATATGCTTTTAACAATAAACATAAATTCACACACTTCAGTTGAACATTAAGTTTCTTCCTTAGACAGAGCAATAAATTACTTTGATATCATATAATAAAGTAAATATATGTTTATATAGGTAATTGTTAAACAAACCGACATACGTGACCGGATAATATGTGTACACAATTGTTGAGTAAGTATTAGATGAATCAACTTTAAGAGCGTAGATATTATATGAAATGTTATTATTTACTTACTTATCTGTACCTATAGATAGAGGCTTTACTTTTACAGATAGTAAAGATATTTAAATAATACATGTAAGTAACTGATTAATTATTTATCGATTTTGCAAATCGCGAGTCCTCCATTACTGTCGGAATTTCGATTTTTTTTAAAAAGTTGTTTATTGTACAAGGCATGGAACCTCTTTTCTATTTAAATTTAGAATTTTTATGCTTTTTTCTATTCCTAGATACTTTGTATTTGTCAATCCGTGACATTAAACAAAGCAACAGAAGTCTATGACACGAAACCTTTTCTATTTGATTTTGGAATGCTTATGCTTTTTTTCTATTATTCGATACTTTGTAGTCAAGTCAACCCATGGACTTTGAACATGGCTACAAAAGGATTGGCTCTGAATATTGTTTAAGTCGGTAAAGCATTAGGTCACTGAAAGTCACGGGATAAAGTTTACTTTTATTTTAATAATTTTCTAATTATAAATCAGACGACCTTAACGTAACTACCTTATAGTAAATTCTGTTCAAATTGGTGTTAACAGTTAATAGTATAGAAAATAAATTACCATTTGACATAGATGAGAAAACATCATTACGGTGATTTATTTATATCTACAACATAAACAGTGAATTACACATTATTGGTCCATCGAGCCGGATAAAAACTAGCGATTTATGTTATAAAAGGTGCCAATTTCTGATTTTCATGGCAAATAACCAGAAAAGTGATTAGAAATAGCAATTGTTGCCTTTATTCATACTGTTGCTGAACTGTATTCGACGCTGGCAAGGAACTAGTGGAGGATGATAAGATGAAGCTAAGTCGTAGAGTTAGACTAACATTTTAAGTTTGATGTTGGCAGGTTAGGAAATTACCGAAATAACACTACTGTACTGCCTCTCAACATTCTCACTGAAAATGCTCTTGAAACATGCTGCTCACGATTCTCAGTGTGCTGGTGGATAAGGGTGCCTATAAACAGTTACTTATGATAGTCTTATGGTAAGCCGTAGACTAAGAACAAATGATTTAATATGTATTTAATTGATTTTTTATCAAATGTGTATTTTACTTAATATTTAATAGATTAGTGTTCTGTCATATATATTTCTAATCACGCTGATAAATAAATTACGTTTTATAGAAGTACGCATTAAATAATAATTTGCTAACTTATCATGATAGTTCGCCATTTGTGCGACTTATTTCTTGGTATTGTGTGACTAATATATCTAAACTGATTGAATACACTATTATTTTTTTATTTAATTAAAAGTTTGTCCGTGGCCTGATTCCTTACAATAAGTATTTTATTACTATTGAAGTGAAACTTCTATATAATACACCCTGTATTAGGATTTTTCGGTCACGAAAAAGCGTTACAGTCGCGTGGAGGGCTGGTGGTGGTGGTGGAGAGAACATCGGCAGGCGCAAGACGTGCGCAGAGCGGGGAGTCTGGTGCTAAGTAGATCTGTATCCCTACAGCTTGCATAGATATATTGCCTACCTTACAAATAGAAATCATTTAATACAATACGTTCGTATGTAAAGAAAATTGTAGCATCAGGGGTTCTATTTTGACCTTTTGCTTCTAATCTCTATTAGTCTCTACTTATTCATTTGATTTAGTTTGTATTGTGTTAAGATCCAATAAACAGATTACTTTCACATTTATAACATTCGTTTTGATATCAAAATTACCTAATTGTTTTGTTATGTCAGATTTTATTTATACAAAAAAAAGTCACGCGAAATGTCAGCTCTTAAACTTTAGCAAAAAAAAGTATCTTAAGAAAATAAATATATTACGTGAAAAAAATATTAAAAACCTATTACCTTGAGAAGGGATACATTGTCTTGTCAGTTAAAATATTGCATTGGGTGATTTAATTAATTATTTTATTTAATACTAATTAAAAGATAAAACTTCTAATTAAAGGAAATATTTCAGCATATGTAATGTCATATCTGACAATTCGCTTTTAAAACAGATTAAAATCTACAAATTTGCTAATATATACGAATAATTCCACGGTTGCAATTGCGAACCAAGAACTTGTATCTGCAACTCTCAAGTGGTACATAGAAACTAATGAATCCATCGATATTAATTTGTTACAATTAAGAATAGTCAGTAATGTGAGTTTAAATTTTATTAAGACCTTTATCTGGAGTATAGCTTTGTATGCGAGACGCGGACTTAAGTCAAAAAGAAAGGGATAAACTGGAAGCTTTTGAAATATGGTGTCGGAAAAGAATAGCTGGAAAGATAAAGTAAGAAGTGAAGAAGTGTTACAGTACACAGGGTGAAAGAAAAAAGGCAGATATTCAATACTATAGAAAATAGACGAGGTAAAATGTTAGGACACTTGATACGGCAGTTTACGGCACGATGAATTTATGAAAGATATTATTGAGGGAAAGATAGAAGAAAAGAAGAACAAGGCACAGCTACATCAAGTACAATAAATTAAAAACATAATTAGAATTATGACGTATAAACGTTAAAGAGAATGAAGGAAGATCGTGGAAAGTGGCAAGAGATCAACCCACAAAAGCACCGCTCTTAAATTACGAATGAGAAATATCAGTCAGAAACATCGAATCGGTGTGGAAGAATAAAAATCTATTAATATATATATATATATAATTATAAATTAAACACAACAGATGAAAACCAATTTTTGTTAAACGCAAGACTTGTTTTTTTACTAAAATTTAAAAGAAAATTAATCGAACATTGTAATATTTTAATGCTGGCCAGACATAAGATAAATGTCATTATGACGTGTTGCAACAATGTTATAGTTGTACGCTACCAGTTGGATTACTTATCTATTGCCAGTGAATGAAAATCGCTAATAACATCTGCGATACGATCCAAAATACCACAGGAGGCCGCGCATGCGCGGTTACGTTTTGCGTACGTGACCTGAAGCATGATGGCGGCGTGGGGGGCGGACGGGGAGTGGGGGGGAGGGGCGCTATAAACATTAGTAGAATCGTAGACGAATCCCACGCCGCCAGCCGCCAGCCCTCTGTTTACAAACGTTTGCTCGATTTACGGAACCAGTGTAGTTAGACTCTACGATACTAGGCGCCACGGCACTACATAGAGTTCACGGTTTACTAGTGATCAATGTTGATGCCAAACGAACATTAATGTCAACAAATTCGCACACTAATTAGAATGCAAGCTGTAAATTGATTCTTCATTATTTCTGTTATAAGTTTTACCTAACTACTGCATCAATAGTGAAAGGCCGTGTGATGGGATTTAGTGAATATGATAAAATCATACTCGTTTGCAGACTGATTGTTAGTAAAGAGTTATTCGGTAGATATTATATTCAGTCGGTTACAGGCTCGATTTCGTTTACAAATATGATGACTACCCAACACAGGGTGTGTTGGGTAGTCATCATAGCCAACAACTTCCTAAATACTTGTACATACAATTAGTTACACATAATGTCTACCTGTGTTTCTAATTCGGACTTTCGATGGCTTAAAGATAGGAACATGACTGGACGGTTTTTTGCAGTGAATATCGTGTCCTGTGTTCCTGCGTGAACATATAGAGACAAGTTTTAGCACTCTCTTTCTTGTTAGGACTTTCCTATTATTATTAATTTTAAATTTGGTAACATTTTACTGAGACGTCTGACTTTCATTACTATTTTTAATTATCTAGGTACTGGACTTGTCTCTTGTGATAACATTGATTTTATATGGCCAGTGTATAATAAAAAGAAGAATTTAAATATTTGTTTGCTGCTGAAAAGTAATTTTTCTACACTAAATGGAGCCAGCGATTGAGTCTACTTAGAATGTATATAATTGAGAAATGATAATAAAATAATAAGGGATTAATAAAAATATACTATTTTTATTTATCCCTATTTTTATTAAATTATAAATTAATGATAATTATATATTATAAAATACAATACTTTTATTATTCCTTATAAAATTTTAATCCTCTATACGTTGTCAGTTTACTCTAGCGACGAAATGTAACCTTTATTAAGTTTCCATCTATATTTATATTAAACTTCATCAAAATTAGTTCAATGATTTAAATTAAAAACTGTAATGGACAGATAAGGCAAGAGTTATTCTCGCATATTATGTAATATAGTAATATTTCAGGTACACACAGCGCCATCTAGTCGCAAGTTAAGCTTGTATTATGGGTATAAGTAACTGATAGATGTACTAAGATATTTTTTTGTAAATGCATACATAATATAAACAGAAAATTAAATATAATAACTAATGTGTCCCATACATGAATACATTTTTTTTGTAAATACATAATTATAAAATATAAAATCCGACCAGACTGATAGAAAGGAATTGCGATGCGAGGAATCGAACTCGCAACCAACGAAAGTAAAGCGGTATACTAAACAGCTAGACCATATTGACGGCCGTTAATAATATTAGTATGCTAGCTACCTTTGTCCTGCCGTTGATCATGAAGTCGCCCATCTTCCCATTGCCGGGCATTTTGTTCGCTCTCATCACGATGTTATCCACCTGGAATATTTTAATTGCATTTTAATCATGCACCACAAACAGTTTAATGATTGTAATCATTAGCCTCACGGAAGAGTACGCTTTCTAATAAGTATAAAGTATTTTAATGCGCAATTAATTCGACGCTCCGCATAGATGACATAATATTTATATTTACATTTCAATAGAATAGAGTTTATTACAACACCACAGCATTGTAATTAAAGAAACAAACAATATACGTATGAAGAAGACGTAATAAATGCATGTAAAAGGATAAACGCAAAATATATTGTTTGCTAGCATTGAATCTTACTTTTTTAAATTAATATATTGTAATTTCTAAAACAAAAGTAGTCTTAGTTACTCCTGCACCACGAACTTTACTATATCATTCCTGAGGAGTAAGGTATCATGTTTTTATACCCTGCGATTTTACTGCCATATCTCACCCTTCAGAAAAGAACACACCTTATAAAACATAAAAGCTGAAAAAGCGAGACAGGTTCCTATGCAGACGACTTTGTACAAAGTCTATGATAGCGTCTCGAACAGCCTAAAACATACTAGCCCATAAAAATAATAATGGCGCTCTTCAAACTTGTTACTACGACTCGACTCGGTGTCATCGAAAGATGGACGGTATTTGCATAGGATGAAGACGATTTGCATTTCCATTACTAGCAATCACCTCTCCTACAACCGGCATGATAACTTACGACGCAAAATACATACACAAAGGGAGTGTCTAGTTGACACACAAAACAAGGACAACATGTTGGAAAAGAGGCGGGCGTTTGCCTAATTTTCTTATGTAATTGTAATCGCAAACAAGCTGACGACGCACCTAACATATCGCATATCGCTACTACTCCAATGATGTTGGTCGCAACTGGCCTTTACAGCTTCACCGGACGATAGAGGGCGAGTGCAGATGGCAGTCCAAACCTGCGGATGGACTTATGGAGCGACTGTAGGCCAACCTCCGCCTGACGGATACGACTTTAGTCTAAGGGCATCGCTAGAGGTTTCGGCTCAGGCCATCATAATTTCGATTCCGTTTGAATTGGACGGGATCGATCGACATTAACAGTAACACAGACATTGTACAAGACAAAAATACAATAAGATTTTACAATTTATCTGTTTTATGAATAAAAATATTATGGCGTTTTTATTTATCTCCACAATTTAACTATGATTTATATTACATCACGTGATAATGCGACACCCGTGATACCACAAATGTATTGCCATTCCGGAGAACTAAGATGTGAAACCTCATATTCTGTTATTAATAATTTCATTCTGCCTTATCTCTTATAAAGAAATCTCAGCTTGGCCACTGAGGTGAGTATGAACCGACGACTTTTTGGAAAGTCTACCTTGGTGTGGGGAAACAATACCATGACAATAGCAGTTAGTACTTCAATTAAAATAAAATAGAAGAAATAATAGTAGGCTCTATAACTAGTGTGTAAGCAAATCGTGACATAATATCTGTATGTATTTGACAGTCATGTTTTGGTATCAAAACCGCAGTGAAAGATAAACACTGAGCTAACTAAACAATAAAGCTCTAGTGTAGAGTTTGAATACGTGACATGTTGACAGTCTGTTCACCACTGAGCTATCGCAACTTCGCATTACGTGACTCCAGTGCAGTCCGCCCTATGACGAAGTGTTGTGGTGACTTATTTCATCGCCCTTAATGTAGGTCGAGGTTGCTTTCTGGTTGTAAACATTGAAAAGCAATTTATATTTTTTGTAACAAATTATCTGTTAATCGCGATATTATCTACGCAAAGTAATTTGAAGCTACGAATACAGTGTTGTTGCCATTAATTAGTTTACTTTTTTGTATTCACACATTTTTTTGTAGGAGGTCAGAGTGGAAATTTAACAGAGCTATAGGTGGATAACTTTCGTTAATAGCAAAATATTGACAAACTCTTAAGTACATTTACCATAGATATAAAAATATTGAAATGAAAGAGATTTTGTATGGGAATGATTTAATTTTTTTTGTAATGAATAACCTAAGTATTCGGCCCTGCGAAATTGTATCAAATTAATTTGTAATTCATTTTACATAGAAATGGGCATTACGTCCAATTCTTCCAAATTTTTTTTTAGTTCTTCCTAATTCTTACGTGCACTTTGTCTCATAGAGTGCCACAACCTAAAGACATTACCAATACTCACTAATAGGTAATGACTAATTAGAAATCTTATGAGACTACAATAATACAGTCTAAAAATATTGGACAAGCAATTATTTATTTATTTTATTTATTAAAACTTTAATGCACAAATACATAAATAAAGGTACACATGGCGGACTTAACACCTCGAGGCATTTTCTCCCAGTCAACCATTGGGCAAACAGAGATTCATGTTGGCGGTGCATTAACAAATTGAAATTCTAATCTAAAAAAAATAAAATAATAAGAAGATCACTTTAATATGATTAAATATAAATACATATGCGAATATACTTATAAACTATAATACATAATATGAATAAATAATTATACATATATAAATATAACTACATACACGTACGTACCTACACACATACATACAAATACACATACAATTATAAATTTATACAAATCAACAGGGAAATTCAGATACATAGAGGTGGTTGGGTGGAGGAATAATACTACAAGGATAACAGGAGCCTACACTAGTTCTGGGAAAGGTGTTTGCGTAATTTGGATTTGAATGTGAATTTTGAAGAGCTGGACCTAATGTCAAGGGGTAACTCGTTCCATTGTTTAATGGCCTGTAAAGTGAAAGATTTAGAAATGAAGCTCGTACGATGAGCAGGAACGTGGAGAAGTAAATTCCTAGACGGACGAAGGTTACGATAAGAGATGTCCCCATGAAAATGAAATTTGGTATTAAGATACTCGGGAGAGTTAGGATCGTATAGTAATGAATAAAGAGTACACAAGAGACGAACAATTCTTCGTTGGCGGATTGGAAGCCAATTAAGCTGAGAGCGGTAAAAAGAGATGTGGTCGTATTTACGGAGACCGAAAATAAAACGTATGCAATTATTGAGAAGACGATCCAATTTGTTTAAAAGGTCCTCATTCATGTCCGAGCAGCACACATCTGCACAATCAATAATGGGTAGTACCAGGGACTGAATAAGTAAGATCTTAGTACTGGTAGGAAGGAAATTTTTAAACCGGTATAAATTGCGCAAGGTGTACGTAACTTTACGACTGACCTCATTGACGTGATTATTCCAGCTAAGGGTGGTATCAATCGTGAGGCCAAGGTCTTTGACATGCGTGCAGTAAGGAATAGACATTTTATTAAAAATTATCGGAGGAACAGACGTCAGGTTCGTTTTGCCGAGTTGTCTCGAGCTTCCCAAAATGATTGCTTGGCATTTGCTAGGATTGACAGTCACCCCGAACCTAACCGCCCAGTCCTCAATGTAGGCAAGAGCATCGTTTAACCGACTTACAGCTTCAGATATTCTTTCTACTTCAGTTTGATAGTAAACTTGAGATCATTAGTGAGGAAGTTAATAAAAATAGAAAATAATAACGGAGACAATATACCGCCTTGAGGGACACCAGCGACCAATTCGCACCAGTCAGATAGAGCTTGGTCATAGCGAACAGCCTGCCGGACTTAGCGGTAAGGGAGAAGAGAAATGTCTATTAAGATCATCTAGTGAAAAGAGTGGGACAGTATCGCTGGTTTGTTTGCACAAACCGAGCGACTTGAGGAACTTCCAAGAATTAGCCGGCGAAGCATTAAGCAAATTCGAATGAATATATTGGCGTTTGGCTGCTCTTACCATGTAATTACACCGATTACGAGCCGTTTTGAATGACGACCAGTTCTCGTCAGTGCGATTCCTCTTAAACTTACAAAACGCCTGATTGCGTCTCTTCATCGCCATGCGAACGCCTCTCGTGATCCAAGGGGCGGGCGGTTTTCTTAGTTTTATACCATGCGATGGAGCATGTTTGATGTAAAGCTGGTGGATGCAAGTGTTGAAGTTGGAGAGCTTCGCACTGACAGTAGGAGCTTCAGTAACACAGTCCCAATTAACCGATTGAATATCTTTTCCTAGTGCCTCCATATCAATCCTAGCTAAATTGCGTATTTCTTTAATTACGGGTTTACGTTTAACTTTATTCACGTTATAAGTAACATATATTATGTCATGGCGAGATATACCTGGTGCCGGAACTTGACCATGATTGAGAACGGAATCGGGAGAGGAAATATAAATGTGGTCAATCCAACTATCAGGATAGTCTATGTTGGTATGAGTGGGCCCAGTCGGTAACAAAGTTAACCCTACTGAGTTAACAATATGACCTAGTTTACGGGAATTTGCTGTATCACGGATGAGGTCAGTATTAAAATCACCCATGATTATATGGTGAGTGTGCTCGGACATAATGGATTCAAGAATTGTTTCCAATTCCTGAAAGTAATCTAGAGATGGGGGACAATAAATAACACCTAGAACGATTTTGGTCCCCTTGACATAAGTACAAATAAATAAAAATTCAGCGTTAGCGGAGATGGGGGAAGAAGCCAGTACTTCGTATTTAAAAGAAGTCCGCAAGTAAATTGCAACACCACCGCCTCGTTTCTCCAAGCGGTCATTACGAATCATAACGAACCCTGGGAGACTGTAAAAAGTTTTACGTTATAAGTAAAAAGCACCAAAGAGTACGTTATTTTTTTCTTAGTATAAATTTAAATCAAATATATAGCAATTATGCAGGTGTAGAGAAGGACGACGATTTCAAAGCACTTATACATAAGTCTTTTTGAAGTATATTTGACTTTAAATTTGTATTAATTATTTGGGTAAACGATGAAGTGGTTTTAGGTCCTAAATAAACTGTAGTGTAGATTAGTGCACTTGTGTTATTGAACCCGTTCAAGTGTATTTGTTAGGCAGATACTATATGCCTTATTAATAATAACGAAAATAAACTACACGTTTATATGAATTTAGTTTGAAAGTTTAAAATTTATATGCAAACTAGCGGCCCGCCTGGTTTCTTTGTGACTTTTGTATATTTAGACCTTCAACTAGTGAAAGCATTTCTATAACTCGGTGGCGTCTTTCCTCAAAACAATTCCGATGTCTCTCTCTATTTCTAATATTAGAAATATAAAGAGAGCGTAATATTACGCGATTTTCACTTTGTATCTTGGTGAGAGTGGAACGTTTCCATGAGCATCCTACCTGGCTTACCATATTTCTTTTTTTTAAACAACTTTAATTATCTGCATTGATGTCCAATGTAAAAGTAAATATGGCTGACATAACACCTTGCGGCAGTAAACCATAGTTTGTGCAGAAAATACTACTATACCCTTTGCAACTAATCATGTTCTATAAGAGGCTGATGTCAATTAGACAGCAAAGTGCAAAATCATCTAGGTATATTTGATAAAAGAAAACAATTGCCGTCGCCACTAGGTCGGAGAATTGTTATCCAGTGTATCAACAATAAACGCCGCTGAGATAGTGTATCGCAAAAATGTTTGATGCCTAAACACAACGTTTATACCTAACAGTTATATTTTTTGGGTAGGGTGACGTTTGGGATTTGTAGTTCTATCGATATGATATCACGGCCGATATTGATACGTCATGATATACGAAAATTTTTATAGTACTCTACGCGCTTAGTCAGTCACAGAAAAATAAAAGATTAGCATGTACTTAGGTGTTACAGTAAACATTACAGCGTGATATTTTTAGAAATATAGATATATATACAAAACATATATATAGAAACATGAAATTGGAGCTATTGAGATGAACTGCCACGCTAAGCGCATTCCGTTTAATCTCGGAGTTTTGGATGAATAATTTTTTTACTTGCAGTAATTCTAGCTTACTGCAAAATCTGTGTGTATTCTACATGCACTCACAGTCTTGTAATTTTTTTTTATAACCCTCTATAATTAACACGGCGTCATCTAGCCACACGGTAAGCAGAGCTAGTGTTATGGGTACTAGACAAATGATATAAGTACATAGATGTTTTTTTTTGTAAATACATAAATAATAATATACTCAGGAAATACCCAGACTGATACAAACATTCGTCACATTTTCCCCGTTTCTGCAACATATTTCATTGCAGCTCGGTTCCAATTAGTTGTAGCGTGATGTTATATAGTCTATAACATTCCTCTATAAAAGGGCTATGGAATACTACAAGAATGTTTAAAATCGGTTCAGTAGATCCAGAGATTACATACATACAGACAAGGCCCACCATGGGAGGCACAATTCTTAATTTCAGTTATATTCATTATAGATTAGGATTAAAACATAAAATATTTTTAATTACCTGTGTGATTAATTGCTTTATGTATTGACATTGTGGTTCCTTGCCATCAATCCACGTGGTTTGGTCGCTGCGTACGGTTTGTGCTTCAGTGCTACCCGAATTGGATACTACCTGACCTGCCTGTGAAAAAATAAATCATATTACATTTTCAACCAATTGGAGGAGATTCTTAAGTTCTATATTTTAGGGGTGGAGATTAGGGATTATTAATAATAGGCCCCCTCGTAAGCAATATACCACTATTATGTCAAACTTCACATGATCCCCTGAAAAAACATTCCTCCATTCTCATCCATTAGTGTGCAGCTGGGAGGAACATTCCATCGTCATTCAATATAAGATAAATGACGGGCTTACTAATTAGTAAGTATAAATAAATAACATTCATCATCCCTCAACGAAACTAAACCTTATAGGTACTAGACAACTGATATATATATATACCTACTGATATATACATTTACACACAACTAACAAATACATTTTTTGTAAATATAGGCATAATAGGTATACATTGACAATTAGAAAATAACTCAGTACAGTAAAAAATATTGTTTTTGTGTTTATTTACTTAGACTTCATGTTATCAAGTTTGTTTTGTTACTTTATGTATTATGTAGTGTGAGTACCTACAATAAGAAAATATAATGCTAGAATAAAATAAAAATAATGAGAATTAAAAATACGCATTATATTTAATTTTTTATGGAGCCATAAAAACATTGTATGTTTTTGAATCAATCATTCCATTTCCTTGCTCATTGGTGATTTTATTTAAAGACTAAATGAAAAAAAAACTTGCAAGTTTTTGAACCATTCATTAGCGGATTAATATTTAACTGTTTTTCTAATTGCCTATCAATATCTTATTACCTACTAAGAAAACAGTAAGTAATAATTTATAATTCATTAATTCATAATCAATTATAAAAAGAGACTAATTTGTCAGTAGAATATAAAAACATAATTTATAAAAGTTGCTTTTACAGTAGTAAAATGTTTAAAAAAGGAATAATCCAATTCCGGGATTTGAATATCAAATTTCCAGAATTGAATTACATATAGTAATAAATACAGTTTAATTGAGAACTACTTTATGCTAATAATGGATTATCTTTCTGGATTATTCTGTTAATGGTTACAGAATATAACCCATCTTCACACTTTAATATTAATGGTTGAGGGTATAATGTATATTGTACAAGATAAGAAGGATATAATGTACAAGATTGTAAACAATGGAAACTAGTGATTTCCTATTTTTTTTTTTATAGATTAATGGTACACTAAGGGATATAAGATAAACATAAAGTCAGAGCGACAAAAGGACAAGCAGGCAAAACGCGAGTAGGTAGACAGAGAAAAAGATAGTCCCATGATCACAGAAGTAGCAGGAGCAAATTGGAGGAGATGTTTAGCCATATGGCACCATATGAGAACCAAATTAATTAATAAATAACGCTGGACATTAAACACAGCACCATTTAGTCCCACAGTAAGCAAAGCTTGTGCTATAGTTACTAGACAACTGATATAACTTACTTTTTTTTTGTAAATACATACATAATAAACATAGAAAATGCCAACTGATACAAACAATCACGTCTATACAAATGTTGGTGCAAACATTTGCTAGTCTTTTAATGAAACTTGAAATATATATTTAAAATTGTAATTATATGGTAAATAAAGCTTAAATAAATAAATAAAGTCAGGTTGGTTAGCCTATCATGGCAAATTCAACAGCAATTAACCACTATAAGTTCTAGGGGGAGTAACACAGAGGTCATTGTGGTAACTTTTGATCATGTACAAGCACAAACTGTGAGGTGGAAGCACTCTTCTATTATCATCCATATCCATCCATAAAAATAATACCTATAAAATATTCATTTGTCTGTGCTTGTAAGTATTATTATTTTATGTTTAGTTGCAAAAATAAATATTAGACAGCTTCGGTGGTCTAGTGGTTTAACACACCACTTTACTTCCAATGGTTCCAGGTTCAATTCAATGCATGGCACAAACATTTATATTCATGAGTATGATTGTTTATATTAATCTAGGTGTCTTCAATGTATAATATTATAGTTTTCGAAAACAAATGTTTTAATTTTTGTTAATTTGCGTTAGAGTGTTACACAAAAGAGGTTGGACTGGTTGTAATAAAAAAAATCATTTCATAGATGTATAGAACAACTATTATGTAGTAATGGTTTTATGATGGTTACATATAATACATATTCATATATACAACAAGCCTAGATACACATAGTATGAATTATGAATAAATTTAAATGTTAAGACAAATACCTTTTTAAGTTGGTTGAAAAGTGCTACATCTTTTCTATAATAAAATGTTTAAATTTGAATAATAATTTAATACCAATTTAACCATCACCATATTGGTCATGAAAGTTTGTTTTGTTTTTAATTACAATATACAACAACCTAATAATAATAATAATATGATATACATATATAGCAATATTAAGTATACTATTCAATTGTCATAACTGGTAGTTAATTAATTATAAACAAACTTACTGTGAATATTCCTGATCTGTGCATATTCATGACTTCATTTAATACCAACAAGCCTCGATCTTTACCGAGGAAATTGTCCAAAACACATACACCATATTGAGTCATATCCCTAATAAGTCTTTGACACACTACAAACCACTGATCACTAGGGTCCATGTCATAGCTGTTGGGCATGCAACTAAATGGAGCACTGCCTTTCAAAGACGCCTCCGGGTACTCCCTCATTTTAGCACCCTGCTCTGTGCCGTATGACGGCGCTACAGGCATTTTGACATCAGTTCTATTTACAGCTCTCAATACATTTGATGAACTAGAAGCTGAAAAGTCCACAGTACTCAGCTGCTGAGCGGACTCGCTCAAAATTTCCTGTTCAGACGACCCCTCATATGTTATGGCCCTTCCTTTGGTTAAATCCTTATCTGTATACACTACACTAGAAATAACACTATTATCATTGTGTCCTGGTGTCTCAGCCGCGACACTTTCACTTACAACGTTCTCAGTAGAAATTTGCGAATTATGTTTACCAACACACGCTGCGCCACATTCCTTACTCACGTCGTTCGCAATTTTTTTCTTTGTCTTTTTCAAACGTCTAATTTCACTCGGGCTGACCTCTTTTGCAACCCCTTTCAGCGAATTGCTTTCGATACCGTCGGAAGAGAAGTCCACTTCGCCGTTTCTCAATTTTTCTTCGTTTTTTATCGAGCGTTCATTGCTTTTAGGTCCTTTTTTGGGTAACTTGGGGCCACATTCACTTTTATGCCTTTTCCAATCCTGCCGTTGGTGCTCTGTGTTACAATAATATATATTGAGGCAACGACCACATCTTCTGTGCGTTTGCTGATTGCAAACGGCGCAACAAGCTTGTACGCCCTCCTGATTCATTCTGAAAATAAATATTCTCAAGGGCCGGCCTCGTACGATTGTCAAGTGTCAATGGAACGACCGAAATGTCATCGACATGACGTCTGTGCGTTCCAATATCGCGTAACACAAACTTTGAGAAACACAAAAGAAAGTGTCTTTATAAAAAAATAATAAACAATTATGTTAAATAACGTTTTGTAGTTCCCATTCACAATAAATATAAAATAAAGACAATGTTTGTTATATTATGTGCGAAGTGCGTGGTGGGGGATATAGTAAAGCGATCGCAGCGCATGCAGTGGCAGAAATCTGTAATCATTTTGATACCTATATTACAAAGTTACATTGGAATTTTCTATGTATTTTATGGGGTGACAGTAAATAAATTTAAAATTATATTTTTGTACCTACTCGTTGTTACTTAGAGAAAGGTCTGAATCCAATAATTTGAACAAGAATTCACATTTTTATTCTGGATAAAGACAAAATAGTATCTTCCGATATTGCTCTAATATAATAATTAAAAATTGCTATTTACCTACTGAACTTTTTTGTAGGTAATTACGAGCACTATTGAGAGTGTCGTGATTTATTGCCCTGAATTGCACCCTTGTTGACTAAGTCGTGACTTCAAATCTAGCCTAATCTAGTAAAAAAACTTTGTAGGTATGCCAATTTATGTTTTACCACAAAACACCTATATCTAACAACAAAAAATAATCTTACACACGATCAGCAGTGGGCTCTTGATTTTTCGTAGTAGTTTTTCTTAAGTAGAACTAGAATATTAGTTCATATAGTAGTACTTATATTTTTTTATTTTTGTGATGAACATTATAAACTAGTACATATTCATTGACGTAGCCAGCCATGGGCTTAGGGTGGGGCAGCAGTCTAAAATAATATATACGTAACTAGCAGACTACCCGCGGTCTTTATTTTTTTTGATACAAAACGGTTACACACTATAGCACCCTTGTTATTTTTTGTTGAGTATGGATTTTTTACAGATATATATCGTAGTTAATACTTAGATTATTTATTTTTTTAGGTTTGATTATTTATATTAGGTACAGGTCAGAGTCAGGATCGGGCACGCTCCCTCCCTGCCCTACCGTGGCAACACCCATGAGGTAAGATTATTTTGTATATTATCCATATTTTTCTCAGTATTTAAATTTATTGTGTTTTAATATTTTGACCACCTAGTTTTCTAAATAGTCCGATTAGATCCCCAAACCCATACTTATTGACCTGCGGGATTTTCTATACACCAGAATTAGTCTCCTATCAATTCATTTACCTTATTTACTTTTCTTTATAAAACATCTTAGAGACAACAAATGTGCATTGTTAATAAATTGCTAATGGTCATAGGTTTGCGAAATCGACGACATCCCAACTCTCCTCAGTTTACACAGTTTACAAAAGTTTCCTTGATTCTCATTTTACACACCCGATGGCGTTACTAGTCTACTGGCATTAATTCCCATTTGCCGTCTTTTTTAGGTGTATTTGTAGACTGAAAAAAAAGATAGGTATAGAAATTACTACGGTGTTCTTCATGTATGTACCATATATAGGCGACGGTTACCATATACCATCAGGTTAGCTTCTTTGTTATTCCTATTAGGTAAAAAAAGAACACAAACTTGTGGCACTGCTAAGGGCTCTAAGTCGTTTTGAATTATTTTCAATCACAGCGATAGCAGTCTCTTGTATAATTTATATGTTGAACAATGTATATATAGTTAATTTTAAACTTTCGTGTTTAATATACATTATTTAAATTATTAACCGGGTCTGAACACGAATAATTTTATGGCAAATAAAGGTATTTACCTCTCTCGACGTTTCGACTAGGTTGCACTAGCCGTGGTCACGAGCTGACTGGAGTAACAGCGATGTTAATGTAGATAGGTGACAGCAGTTTTTTCTTCATCTACCGTCACTAGACTGTTTAACGAAAGTTCGCGACACACAGCACTCACGGTATCCGTACACTTATTGACTATTGATGCTACTGAACTTTGCTTGAATTCGTTTATGACTGGATTCCACGCAGATGATAATTTTAAGCCATCCTCTCTGTTGAAATTGGGATATTTTTTAATTTCAATTCCTTTATTTGCCATAAAATTATTCGTGTTAAAACCCGGTTAATAATTTAAATAATGTATATATATATACAACATTCAAGTTAAAGGCAATAATCGAGAGTTGGAGGTAATATCGGATCGGCGAGTATAGTATATGAGCCCAGCGATCCTGGGCGCTCCCTACCACTGCTCCAATATTGGTGTTGTTCGTTCGAAACAACCAGGGGCGTGCAATGGTAATTTTTATGAGAACACAGTTTGAGCCTTGAAATCTTAGCAGTGTCAGTTACAGGTTCATCTCTTGACAGTCCTGGATTTATAAATAGGCCATATAGGAGGAGGCCCAGGAGCGGCAGCGTCCTGGGGTCGGCAGATTTCAGAGGACAAACGTCAAACAATTAAATTAGAGAAAATTACGATCTTAGAATGGTATATACATGGGGCGGCAGAAATAAAGTGGCCTACTTTTATAAAAAATATAAATCCGGCACTGTCTCTTGGGCTATTGTAATCTTCAGAATCACATAGAGAAAAATATAGTATGAGCAAGACTTCGCTCGAGTTCTCCCAAAAAAAAACACAAATATTTCTATAAAATTATTTATTTATTTAATTAATTAAAGTAAAATATATCATACATATTAAAATTTTTAAATATTAACTATCTCATAACGTCTCGAAACAGTAAAACTGGGAAGATAGGTACATTTCGTTACACCTATATAAGAAGAATTTATTTGTAAAGTATATTATATGCAAAATTAATGTATAAATAACTATTTATTTACAAATAAGTCAGAGTAATGGTACAGCACAGATGATTGATGAAGAATACGTCATGAATGAGTAAGACTAGATTAGTTCTACGTCGAGTCACGTACTTTGCTATAATATGTTATGGTCTGACTAAGATTGAAATATATAATTTGTAAAGTTAAAGAGTCCATCCGCACAGCAAATATTTAATTCACTTTTAATGAATAAAAAAGCATTATTTGCAATATTTAATTTAAAAAAATATAAAACAATGCGCAATCTGACACGTGAAATAATCGCCTAAATTACATTCTATTGAATTTTAGAAACTAAAAACCCATGCGTTGCCTGAGACGGGTCATGTAAGCTGATGGGGGATTCGTGTCTATTAGTTAGTCCAATTCTTTTATGAATGTTATGATACTGTTTGCAAGGAAAATATGAAGCTACGCCATCTTTGTCTAACAAGCACGAAAACACGTGTTTACTTTGGCTCAAGCTGTTTGAATAGTATACGGAATACGAAATCTGTAGGCGGTCCAAGATAAATATTCCTAATCATCTTAAAATATACAATTAATGAACTATATAACTTAAGTTTGCAAAGACCGGGACTCAACGAGAGGAACTAAGGAGCGTAGAGGCGCGCGTTTCATCAATAACGCACACCACTACGCTTGCTTATAGTACTTATAAGTGATATAAAACTTAACAAGTTAAATTTATTCAATGACAAGACAACGGATTTGTCGCGTCGACTTGCCATTGAATGATTGAATGAACAAAATGATAACGATCGCTAAGATGAACCAATATTAGTCAAAGGTTTTAATGTCGACAAATTAAATCGTGTAGAAATAATAGGACATGCCTTATTGTAAGAGTTTGTATGCACAGCTTTCTATTCAATTAATTTTTTGGATAATTATCATAAACTAATATTCCGATTAGATTTAGTCTGCCAACTGGAGGTTCAAACTATGAAAATAGCAACTATAAAACATTAATAAAACATTTACGTATCGTTTTCTGTGCATTGTATAGCATTTACATATAACTCCCGATCGATACGGTTGATACGGCTGGTAGAGAATGTAGTTGCTTTAAATATTTAGGTCTAATCTATATTACTTAGTTTCGGACTAATCCTCTACTGTTATTCTCTAGACGATTTGATTTCTCCAGAGCAGACAGATTAATGACAGCATGTCGTGTTATATTATATATAGATGATTTTATAGTTTACATACATTTATACTGCAGGTATAATTCAATAAAAACTAGAAATGAAGAAATGATCTGAAGTCAACCCTTTTGTAAGATATTTAAAACTACCTACATGTATTTTAGATGTATGTTGAGCTATGAATTGCTCAACATACATCTAAAATATATAAATAGATAAATGTTATGCATTTGACAAATTTAATAAATGGTTAATGCGAGGTAGTATGTAGTAGCCCATACTTTCTCCAATGTACCTTTATAACTTATCTCAATCTAAATACGTTAACAATTGTTAGTTGTGTTTCGTTTCGTTTCCATCTAGTGGTATGCTTAGAATATTTGCTTATATCGTGTCCCTTTAAAGCACTATTCAATGCAAAATTATCAAATTAGCGATCGTTACTACATCCGTCCAAAAACTTGACCCTCCACCTCCATTATCGCGGTCAAATATTCACAAATTCAGTACGAAGAATCCATTGAAAATTACACAAATAACTTCTTGTCTGCTTCTGTGTACAAGCATAATGGCCGCCAGCCTCTATAGGCCAGGGTAACGCTACGTTACTTCAACTCTAGCCAATATTTGGACCCTAATTTCTTAACCTGTACTAAGTTTACTTTGGAAGTGAGAAGTGGCTCAAGTAACGTAGATAGGGTAGCGCTCGAGTTATACTCTCGTGTGGGCGTCGTCGTTGTTCGGGGGGAGAGGCGGAGGAGGGCCGTGTAGTACCCTCGCCAGTTCCGCCTTCTCATCAGCTGAGAGAACATATACTGGTGGTGCTGCAGGAAGGAACCTCTCGGCTTTGTGAGGTTCTCTTTGTAATCGGGCGCGGTATAACATCACCAGCACGCAGAGCACGCTGATGATGAAAGCGGAAGTTGCAGCCAGTACTATCAACGCTGTATGGTACGACGTTGCTGCTGATACCTGAAATTAGAATAATGGTTAGGATTCTAGTAAATTAATTAAAAAATAACTGTAATAATAGCTTCAGTGAAGAACAAATTTATTAGAATAATAAACATAAATTAGTATGTTTTTATATGTGTCTGCTGCTTTTGTGCTGTAAAAGGAAACAATATAACAACAAAGTCCTGTTCAGTAGCTCCTGGAGTTCTATTTTGTGTAATAGTACGCAAGTTACGCTATAATACAGCGATAATGAAATACCTAATTAAAGATTTTTCTTGTAATCAACACAAGTCACATTATTGTTTTGGTAATGGCGAATAATAGCTCCATTGCTGATATTGTACAAAAGCGACCTCAACGCGGTCTCTATCCATCCATCTCAGTACAACATCATCGTTGATTCCTAATGCTGATGATTCATAACGATGTTCTAACTTACCTGACTTTATGCCTATCCTACCATTCACCACTGGTGCCGCTCCAACGCAGACCGGTACACCAGTAAGAAAAATGTGTGTGTGTGTGTGTGTGTATGTTCGTGTGTATGTGTATGTACGTGTGTGTGTGTGTGTGTGTGCACATACCGTGGACTCTGTGAGTATCTCCCGCTGGTGGAGCGGTGGCGGCGGCGGTGCGGCCAGCCGGTACTCACTGCGCACCACGTCCGCTGCCAGCGAGCCACGCGCTCCGCCACGCATCGCCGCCAGCTTCTCCTGCTTCACCTGCACGACCACACCACGCACCATCAGTATTGCCACACACAGACAGTCTTCATTAGATATTTATTAAGGCATCCATAGCCCATTTGTTAGGGACAATTTTTATAATCTATTGTTAGTATATAATAATTACATTGCATCAATGATTACAAGTAAGTAAATCTCTGCCTAAGTAGTAAACCAAAACAGTTTCTTATTATGGGTGCATCAAGTTGGTTCATCAATATTTTCAGACTGTATTTGGAGTTATCTCATAATATACTACTTTCTTGTTTTCACATTATTTAATCAATTCATCGTTTACATGAATTGATTAAATTAGAGTTTTCTTCGACTGGCCACACCAGCTGCGGGTTAGTTAGTTACCAGGCTCTCAACATGGTGCACGAGGTCGGCGGAGCGCGGTCCGGACAATTGTGCACGCAGTCGCAGGGCGGCAGGCTCGCGTCGCACCCACACGGGCACGCGCACGCCGAGTGCCGCCAGTCGCGCAGCCAGTGCTGATCTCGCGCGCTCCGCAGCCTCTGCATCCGCGCCTAGTAGCTCCAGCTCCAGCACTGCTGACTCTACTTGCGTTTGTTCTGTCAAAATACACTCCAATGATAAACAGGTATCACATATCGAAGCATCATTGACTATTATAAAAGAGACGTTTGAAGTGTCGCCCCCATTTTTGAATAGTGAAGCCGTAATGTAGTAGCTACGGCTCGCAGCATTAGATGGCTTCGAAAAAGTTAGATGTCTCGTCGACACTATCAATAGTCGCAGTCTTGTCAGCCCGTAGGGCCTTTAGATCTCATTATTTCTGATTCAGCAAAAAATATCTAGACTAGAGTATAATGTCCTATAAAGAACTTTGTTCTAAAAAAACCACTCTGGTGGTAAAAACTTACCACACGGGTCCGGAGCGGGAATATCCGGAACGGGCGTGGCATGAGGTCGTTTCTGTCCGGCCGCGTCCACACACCAGCAGCGACCGCGCGAGCACTGTCGCGGGGAGAACGATCCATCTGATAGGCATCTCGGAGGTGGACCTTCAGCTCCTAAACAGATAAAATACCATCATCAGATAGTTTATCAGGTATATAGTATACAAGTAGATACAAATTTTACTTTTTATGGACTAGCAAATGAACTAACGGTCCATCTGAACCTGAACCAACGCCGTTAGATATAGGCACCGCCTACATTAACGTTTGACCTATGGTTCATTGGGAGAAAATGTCACAAGATGTAAAGCCCTTCATGGGCACCTTCATTTGTGTGTTTGTGTAATAAATTTTTAATAAAAAATAGCGTGTCACATGACAGGAAGAAGAAATTTGGTAGGCTCGAAGTACCTCTATGCTTCTGCACTGTAATTTCACAGCCACATCATACATTGGCACAAAACTTACAAAATAACATGTCTGGCAGCAGAAATAGACGAATTCAACTGACAAAATTTAAAATATTGAAATATAATTTTAAAACATATCGACAATCCTACTTCTAACAAAATTTTAATCTTAAGAACAAAATCTTTCTTACCGTTTTCACTTTCCTCTTGCATCATTTGACACTTGGTTTTAAATACTACTTTCTCATCAGAAACTTCTAAAGGCTTATCGACAGTTCTCGCAATATCTGTCCGCGGCTCGACGACTTCCGATAGCACTGTTGCACTATCTTCGTCTTCACTTTTAACATTATCATCTTTGGATTCATCTTGTTGATTTTGATTTTCTATGTCGGTAAGTTCTTCTTCTTCGTCGTCATCGAAGTCGTCTTCTCGATATGTTGTCATTTGCATGATCAATTCTTCTAGCACTGCAATACATATTTTATTAACATTAAATTAAATCTGTACGAATGAAAATGAGCAACCATTATTTTTATCTATCGTAAGTCTAATACTCGTACAATACTAGCATTAATCTGTTACTGTCATTAGCAGATGCTAAATTATATTGTGAAAATATAATACTGGCTGTTATCTCGCGATTCCGTCTGCTTTTTTTAGTTCACAGAAAGCCCATCTCCGTGATACAAACTATTTTCACGTGAAATTTCATTATGATCAATTCTGCTATTTAATTTTTACACAATTAAATAGCAGAATTGATTTTAATAACAGATAGACAGACAAATTAGTTATATTAGTGTATAATTTCATTATAGTTGTTTACCTTCGGCAGCTCTAGCGCGTTGGTAGATCGGATCCCGTTGTACCCATTTCCTGGCTTGCCTGAAATTGCAGGTGGGCTTGGCTCCACGTACCATAGAGCCCTTCAGTGACTCACCGTGAGCACTCACACACCAGCACACATCTGTTCAAAGACAACAGTTTTTGTAACAAGCAATAAAAAATCATTACAATCATCCTAAACTTACACGATTACTGGAAGTGAAATTATTTCACGAAGACACAAAAAACATAAAAAATATACTAAATCTTGATCTTGGATTTGGGAATTAAAGTTGAATGAAAACGAAAAGAAGTCGATATTAAACCTAAACACAAAGTATATATTTCCTCCTAAGTAATTAAATAAAATCCCAATTACTTGATACAATAAATTTTCCATTTTTCTTTTTATACTACCATGCTGCCAAAGAAGCATATAGCCTATCTGATGGTAAACAGTTATCGTAGCCTATGGACGAATAGAACATCAGGGGTGGCACGTGCGTTACCGACGCTTAAGAAACCTTAATATACTCTGCTTGAAAAATCCCATGCGAGAAAACCTCGTAAAAAACTGTATATAATGAAGTACATAACATAGACGACGGTACATACCCGTATCATCTATAATATACATTAATTAATGTTACGGGGTAGATACTGTGCTTAATACAGAAAAATATGTAGGGGTTTACCAATATCCAACATGCATTGAACCGGTTCCCAAAGACCGCTGGCATCGCATTTAGGTATGAAGGACACTTGTCCATATTTCTTCGCTTTGGCTTCATTCCTCTCGCGTAGTCTCTCACAAGGACTCAGTACTGTGGAATTAATATTAACAAAGTTAACTATATGTAAGTGATTTCAATATAAACTATAGTTCTTTTTCTATTAATTACTTTTGAATAGTTATAAATTAAAATACATGCATGGAAATGCTCTACACAAAGTTGTTAATAGTATATGTATACAGATTTTGACTATACGTCAGTTACTTAGTTGTTTGATGGAACTTTTTCGTACGAACTGAGAAATAGGTATTCTTCTATGATCATAACATTCATAACCACACAGACACACAGTTTATATTTATATTTTGTATTAATTATTATAATATCATTCATATGTATGTTAGTCTGTAAGGTATTTATAATATGGGCTATTAGTAGCCTGAATAAAATAAATAAAATAACAAAACAATAGTGTTTTGAACCCGACCACGGGGAAACAAAAGAAGAGTTATGATTTTGAATTCATGTTATTCGGAGAAGCTAATACCTAGAAAAAAAGAGTAAGGTAGTGCTGGTGAGATTGCAGTATGGTCATCAATTTTTGTTAAGGTAAGCTGTGCACTAATACCTAAGTTGTAATTAGGTTAAAATTTGCCACAGATATTAAATACAATACAACATAAATATGCAACTTGTGTATATAATAGTTTCAAATATTTATGGTCTAAGAACCAGCACCGAGATCACAATATTAATCTATTTTTATGTAGCCAGGAGCAGCCATAACTTTTCAAGCTTTATCTATATTGCTGTAAGATGCATTATATTTAATTTAAAAACTAGCTATTCGCCCCGGCTTCGCACAGGTGTACATGTATTATATATACCTATATAAACTTTTCTCTTGAATCACTCTATCCATTAAACAAAACCGCATCAAAATCCGTAGCGTAGTTTTAAAGATTTAAGCATACATAGGGACGGACCGACAGGGACAGCGACTTTTTTTTATACTATGTAGTGAGGAGTGAACGTAATGCTTTCTAAAAATAAATTTATTTTATTTCAATTGAAAATACTGCACGCCATATTTTGGTAGTCACCCCGGTATATTCCCATTTTCATGAATATATATAATAAGTATATGTATATATATAATAAGTTAATTGTTATTACAAAAACAGATGCATTTAGTGATCGGCCGGATCTCGTACTATTGAGAATAAGATTAATGCGAGTGATTTAGTAAATAATAAGATTATATAGTTAAGTAAAACAAGAGTTAGTAAGAGTTGATTCAAAGTTAATCCCATAACACCAACATGGAAAATAGATGAAGAGGACATGCCTTCTCCTTTAGGATTTGAAGATGGTGAAGTCTTCTTTAAGGACAATTTGGTAGTAGCCCCTTCCACTGTTTTAGAAGCAAAGAGTTATGTAGTTGCATATTTGAGTAACAGTTTCTGATGTTTTATGTTTTATAACTTAAAATATTAGATATTACTCAAATATACTGATTATGATTTAAAAGTACCGTTTGATGATAATCTTATATTACAGGAAGATAGAGAAATACAACTCTCTAAGGCAAGAAAGAAATTACTTAACAAAATTTAATTCCTAAATACTGTATATACTAATATAATATCTAAGTTATTGAAAAGCATTTTAGAATTCGTCAGTTAACTACTGTGTCAACTACTTGTATGTTTAATAGGCTATTTCGTATATACATATATATTTTTTTGAAAAAGATAAAAGTGAAAAACAAAAAACATGGTTGAATATTATACAAAAATTATGTGAAAAAAGTGTTAATACAATAATTATAGATCTTTTTATTTTCTACAACTTTGCCATTTACTTTGTTTACATAGGACTTCTAGTTTTGCTGTAAATCGGATTAATTGTTTTTTACCCTTCCACTTCCCGACCTCAGATCGCTCGTAATATATATTACTGATGAGTTCTGTTATATTCTCTTACTTTTCCAATGGGTTTACACTACTATTACTTTTTTGTCACAAAAATTATCGAACATGGTATATTATACATAAAAATTGACTTTGAAGACAAAATTTCTTGTTATACCTAGGCTGTCTTTTAAGTCGTATCGTTTGCCAACATCCCGCGATTATTAAAAAAAAAATCATATAGCATTTTCATCTTCTTGAATTTAGTATTCGAAAACAAAAGAATGTTTTCGATTGGTTAAATAGTTTTATTGTATCGTCCATTCAAAGGTGACAAGTCAGTTGTAGAAATGGATATCTCTAAGGAAAATCACGTATAATATGGTGGTGGTGGTGAGGGGCTATCACTTACCAGGACAAGCTGTGTTACATTCATCTTTACTCTTGAAGTTGTTGTGGTTGCCGGAGCAGCCGTGGTATTGGAACCGTTCGCAGCGGTTGTGCTTGTGGTTGAAGTACCAGCGAGTTGTGTTCATCTTTTCAGTACCTTCGCAGATGCCTTCGTCTTTGCTTTCGAAACACACCGTGCCTGAAATAAATTTTAGTGTGAAGATAATTTGAGTTTTTTTAGTAACAGTAATTAATTATCATAATATACCTAATGATTATCATGAAGATTAAAGAATTTTTATAAAGGGCAGTATAATAAAATCAAGTAAAGCTTAATATATATAATATAATAAATTAATAATATAATAAGGTCTTTCCAGCAATTCAATGTCGGTTTTTTTACATTAACTTTATGATGGAACACACCTGTAAAGTAGCTCGAAGAATTTTAGAATCGAATCGTTGATCAGTTACGTTTGCCACACTTGTTAGTTATCATACCAAAAAGTAACGGTAATAATAATAACATACAGAATATTGAAATATACAATATTTTTCAGACCTACCCAAACAATCATACTCACTAATACAAAAGATTGTACTACTCGAGGAATCGAACCCGCGAGCATCGGACGTAATGCGGTGTGCTAAACCGCTAGGCTACCGAGGCCGTCAAAGGTTAGAGTGGAGTAAATGTAACTCACGGGGCTTGGGGCAGCAGACGGAGGGCCTGGTGTCGTGGGGCGCGTAGGTGCAGGCGTGCGTGGAGGGGCAGGCGGCCGTGGCGGGCCCGCAGGCCAGCGGGGCCGCGCCCCCCGGGGGCACCAGCGGCGCCCCGCCCGCGCACGCCGGCGCCGGCCGGCACCGCGCCAGCGCGCCGCACGCCGAGCCCTGAACCAACCATCAGTGTTCAAATTGTTTTATGTTATTATTTACCGTGAGGCCTCCGCTGATAATCAGCACTGTAGCTTCGACTGCAGAGATGTGCCGAATGGAGTCCTTTTTAGCAAAAATATTCTATAGCAGCATATTGGTTTCTAATTGTTTCATTCTGTTGGTGTGACCATGTGCGCGTATATGTGCATATACGTACGGCCAATTTAATTTAATAATATGGTATTTGTAGTGCATGTATGATATATGCTAAATAAATGTACTATTATTACATATATACGTAATGATAATGGTGTTCAGTTCTTCAACATTTGTTCTAAGTTTATTCAGAGACCTTGCGTCTTCTACAATACTTTTAATCGAAATTGTTCCAAATATATTTACGTTCCATTCTACCACTCTTACTTATCTATACATTAAATAAAATTGGAGTGTCTGTTTGTAATATTGAAATAACTGTTTTTTACTACTTGCATATGAATATAAATACGGCACATATACCAAAATAACATTTTTTACAATTTTTGTCTGTCTGTTTGTTCCGGCTAATTTTAACGGGACATTTATTGGCAGGTAGTTGATGTAATGAAATATAACTTAGGCTACCTTTATTTTAGAAAAACAAAGTTAAATTCCACGCAGACGAAGTCGCGTGTACAGCTAGTAGTAATTATAAAAGTATTTTAGTTATTTTTCTGGAAATTTGTTAGAAATAATTTTACTGTGTTGCGCATTTTTTTTAATTTTTAAACTGACAAATGAGCTAAAATAGATTCTTTTTTTAGTGAAAGTTGAGTTTTTCAGGTATGTGTAATTCTCAAACCAACTTGTATAAAGAAAATCTGAGTTACCTTTTCCATGGACAAAATTTCATTGAATATATTTAGTTATTGTAGAATTTTCTTAGTAACATGTTTGTATGTCGGGCATACAGCCCTAAGCAAGTAACGGAATGGATTTTTACCAACCTAAACTTTGTAAAAAACCGTGGATCTCAACCGCCAAGCTACTTTCTTTTTAAGCTGTGTTTCAATTAAAACGACCTTTGGAATAGCAACTTATAAATGGTATTACGGATGTTGCCGTAATGCTGTTCATGATTAGGGCGTTACGTATACCCCGTTCAATAAAATAGTTCATTAGCTGGTTTCTCATTGCTATTGCATAAAAAAAAACATATTCTTACCTCACACTCCAAAGGCACGAGTTCGCATGTCTCGTCAGGTCTGCACTTAGCCTCAGCACATAAGTCTCTACATTCGCAAGTTGGACAACCAGTATGGTCTAGTGCCGGCCCGTGGGGACATATGACTTCCTCATTGCACCCAGGGTCGGGACACTGAGCTGGAGAATCGCAGTTTGGTTCCCCGTTTACTGCTCTGGTACCTGGAATCTGTGAACAGGAATTAAAAATAGTACCAAGCAAATTTTAATCGCTTCGAAGTTTTTATCCTCTTGTTTCATATATTATATATATAGTCATCTTCATTCATCATCTGACAATAAAGCTTAATGATGGACTGTTTATAGTATTGGACTATTCTGAACAGTAAACGCGACTGAATAACTCTTTTTTTCCGTTACCTATATACTGAACCCATTTTAATGTAACTTTCTGGGACTACGCTTTGGAAATCAAAGAATTTAATAAAAAACGCAGTTTTGAGGTAACAATTATAAAAAATATGTTATGTATATGTCGATGATTTGAGTACCGTGTATTTAATAATAATAAAAAAAAAATAATGTAAGAGTTAGGCTGTTTTATTGTTATTATAGTATATTTATTTTATTAATTATTCATTTAAAATAATATACATTGTGTAGGATAACATACAAGGTCTAAAATATAATAATATTACACAGTACTTTAATAGTCTCGGCTCGACATGCAAAACGGCCCAGAGAGGCTACTATTACAGAATCGAACTTTGATCGACAAAGCTGACGATGTGTATACATATTTTACACTAGCTAAAATATACGGCGTTGCCTGTTACATATTTCAAGAGAAAAGTTCTGGCTTTTAGATTAAATTCTACACGTCAAATGTGCGCATTACCTCGTTGCCGACAGCGTCAACACACCAGCACGTGCTGTTGGAGTCCCGACACTGGACCGTGGTGTAAACTCCGTTTTCATCGCAGTTCGGCACCCATGTGTGTGATGGTGGACTACCGCTCTCTGCTGCTATGTGTAACGTTAGAGCTCTGAAAATAATAATAATAACAATACTACTAACTTTATAGTTTCGATTTGTGTTGCCTTTATATGTAGTGATGTCGAATTTGACACAATTTATTTTATTTCCACACTTACATCTATTTTTATAGGTCTTAGCCTAATACAATTAATCTCTTGTTATTTGTGAAAGCCTGTCAGTGGTTTAGTGTGTTTTATAAATTGATTCAATATGTGTATAGTGTAGCCCTGGTTTTCATTTAATACCTAAAGATTATCCCTGGACATTTCACACAGCGCCATCTAGTCTCAAGCTAAGCAAAGCTTGTGTTATGAGTACCGGACAACTGACATACTTATATGGGTACTAGACAACTGATAGATATACTTAGATACATTTTACTGTAAACTAGCTACTCGCCGCGTCTTCGCAGGGGTGTAGATGTATTATATATATAAATTTTCCTGTATTATATTATATATAAATATATCATGTTAGTGGAGGTAGTCCTATTATTCATGTTAGTGGAGGCGGTCATACCTGGCCTGCTGGCAGGCGGTCTGGTAGAGCGGCGCGGTGCAGGCGGTCCCGCAGCCGGTGGCGCAGCACCGCTCGCCGGCCGCGCACTCGCCGTCCGACCGACACGAGAACTCGCACGCGCCCGCATCCGGCGCCACTGGCACCAAGTATGGACACTGGCCCCGACGTCGCGGCAGACCTGCACCGATCAGGATGTAACATATGAAACATTATATTATTTAACATTTATTTATCTTAAACGCTTGAGTTAACTGGTAAAATTTTTCAAATAATACCTATTTTGGATTATGCGCTTGGATTACGCGAGCTGGCTTTTCCACTCCAAAACGCGCCGGCTTCTAGTCCTACAAGTATTTTTTCACTTATTTGCACATGATTGCGACTGTCTTGAATGTCGTTACACTTTCTTGTAAAATTTTAATGTATATTTCACAAATGTTGTAATCCAAAGGCATGTTTAAGGTTTATAAATTATCAATAATTTAGTAATTATGTCTGACCGATGTGAGTCTGTAATGATAATTCATTATCATAAAAAAACGCCAAAATACGCACGATTGAAGGACGCGGAAATAATCTAACAGCACGCGGCGTCTTTATCGTACTTTTTTTACATGCTCATTCTTTCTTGCGTGGAAGGCGATTGCGCATTTAAAGGTAAGCTAATAAATATCATAGCGAGTACTGACATGCGGGCACCGGCGGGCAGTAGTCAGCGTCGCAGGCGACGTCGACGACGGCGCAGGCGCGGCCGGCCGGGCAGCTGACGGCGGCGCACGCGTCCCGACACCGGCACTGCGGACACCCGCCCGCGCCCAGCTCGAACCCGTAGTCGCACCCCATGCGGCACGTCAGCTCCAGGCACTGCAGTCGCGACCGCACCCTGGATGTACGCACCACATTGTAACCACGGGGTGAAGGAATTGTTAGTAATGGTGATTAGTAACCCATTGCTACCATATGAGATCGACCTACATGTGGAAATCACCATCGTTATTTCCTCGTAATTTCAACACGATGGGCTAACTGGCCTAATCTCATTCTCATTTTATCATCCTCCATTGGTATCCTGCTTATGTATACTGTTTGTGCAGGGGGGTGCAATATTCCGTTATCATTATACACCTAACTGAGTCGTGTCTGCGACTCCATTCATTGCACCAGTACAAGGATAACAACTAGCTTAAGCCCAACTCCATCCAAAATGCTAATCTTGATGATGACTCTGATGCTTAACTCGCTAAGAATCCAAGAATTTGCCTACAATCATCCACCAGTCCTTTGTCAGTGGCTGTCTTTTATACAATTATGACATTCTTGAGTACATCTACATAAATGTATTCTAATGATTAATGATTGAATATTCTTCTTAAATTCTACAAATTCACAAGAATACAAAATTTTATCCATAAATCTGCCGCCACGTAACATGTAAATGGTATCTCGTAGTACTTCATAAAAAAACAACAAAATAAACATATAAATAGTAAAAGTACTTATATACTAAAACAACTATATGTTTTTCCTAAATTTAAAAAAGAAATTTGTGTTGGGAGACATAGCAAAAGTAAAACTTAAATGGACACGTTTCTCTCTTAAAAGAAAGAGTTCTCTCACAACGCGACAGCGGACTGTCTCCTCTGCCACCTGCCCTCCACGCGCGATATCGCTTGTACGTGACGTGATAAGATATTTTGGATAATGAAACCACTCACATGTCACAGTTGACGGAGGAGGCGTTGGTGGTGCTGGTGTCCGGTATCTCAGTGCCGAAGGAGTCGACGCACCAGCAGCGGCCGGCGGCGCACTGCTGCGGCGTGTACGAGCCGTCGGCGGCGCACGTGGGCGCGGGCAGCGCCAGCTTCATACCATCAACTGTTCCCTCCATTTTCTCGTCGAAGTCGCGGAGGTATTCGCACACTGCAAATATATACATATATCATTACTAGCTGTGCCTGCGGTTTCACCTACGTGAAATTTGTAGGTTATATTTATATAAAGTTTCATCAAAATTCATTAGCGCTACGTTTTCGTGTCCATCGTAGTATGATTTCTAATTTATATCATCCATCAAGAGATCCGGCCTAATTTGTAAGTATGCCACATGTTATTCTGCTGTATAAGCTATATTATTGTACATCATTTCATTAAAATTCCTTAAGTTTTTGCATGAAAGAGTAACAAACATCCATCTACCTGACCCGTCACTAGCTGACCGAAAAATATTGTTTTGACATAATAGTCATAGACTCACTGGTGGGCGTGTCGTCGACGCGGTCGGCCTGGAGCCGCATCTTGGCGGCGTCGAGGCAGACGGGCCCGCATCCGGCCGTGGAGCAGCACGTCTGCTCGCCCTCGCACGCGCCCTCCGGACACCGCACCGTCGAGTTTAGCGCGCACGCCGCCTCCGCCTCCGCGCCGCACGACTCGAAGCTTATCTAGTCCATTCATACACATCAATTATTCTGCGCAACCTATGGTTGACTGGTAGAAATTGCCGAATGGTGTTAAGTCCACTAAATGGAGTACCTTTTGTATTGTGTGCATTAAAATTAAATAAATTATAATAGTAACTCAAGACAATTCACACATCGTTATCTAGTCCCAAGTTAAGCAGAGCTTGTTCAAGCACTATACAGGCTATTTGCAATCAGAGGGATCACCAGACAGCCGACTACTACTATGTAAGTATACTAGTTGTCTAATATGAATGAACTTACATCAAGAAGATCGTTCTCAGTAGTGGTGTCGAGTTCGTGCGGATCTGGACAGCAGACGGCAGCGTCGCGGCGCGTCGGCGTGCACACGTGACCAGCCGGGCAACTCTCCTCCTCACCCTCCCTACATGATACCACCGCCCCTCTCTCGTCGGAGGCCGGCACGCCGATATCGCATGGGTTCTCGTATGACACCCTCGGCCGACCTGAAAATATAAATAGGGCGCTAAAGCACTCAGTGATTGAAGATCACTGGATTATATGAACTCGCGGCGCGTGCGGTCATTCTCGTTTTCTGTCTTCCTACATTCTCCATTTATATACGTTATAATTTATCTCTACGTGAAGGCCGATTCCATTCGTGAAAGAGCGTGACGTGGTCTGGTGTTTTAAAGGCGTATTAGTAAAACATGGTAACAGAATTACAGCCAATTTAATGGTAACTATTTAGTACTACAGCCTATAGATTTATATATAACGGGTGACCCATTGCCGTATTCACACACTTGAAGAATAAATTATTTAAAAGAGCAACACACAAGTTTCTTGCTTATTCTTCTTGTGTATTTGAATAAATGATTTTCTATTCTATTCTATTCTATTCTAACATTCGTGTGAAGGCCGACAGCGTGGTACGTGTAAAGGCTATTAGTGACTACAGAATTACAGCCAATTTAAGCGACAGAGACTATAGATTTATATATGTCGTGACCCATTCTGATGAAATTTAGCTTTGTTCAAATATCTAAATAAATTACCACAATTGGCATGGTTAGGAGAATTCCCCGCGATAAGCTAAGAGCTCTAACTACTATCTTATAGCGCAGGCGCGTGCACCATTGCATCATTATTTATAAAGAAAATCTCTTACTTCATGGAAAACCATATTATCCATAACAGAAGTAACTTACTTATTTATGAATTCATGAAAAACAACATAGATGCAGGTTACATTTACTTACATACAGGATATCCGGTACACAGTTCTCCCGAACACTCCGCTTCTTTAACTCGGACACACTCCTCTCCTTCAGGGCACGGGAAACCCGCACACGGATCATCACACTCGCAACTTGGACAGCCGTCTGCCCCGGTTTTGTAACCGTATTCGCAGACGCCCGCGCAGAGTGCGCGCGCGCACGCCGTAAGACTCCTGGCGCCGGAGCGGGCGGGCCGCGGGAGGGGGGAGCATTGGACACCAGTCGAAGGTCCCATAGACCCACGGAGTTTGTTGCCTTCTGAGTCTACGCACCTGGAAGGATTCAATGTGTACTTTTATTCCGCTGTCCAGAAAAACTTCAGAAAAAAAATGTTCAGATATCGTCAGATGTAGAGTCGACAAGTGATGCTAAAAATTTCTATGTAAATGGTATAAAACGGAATTAGAACTATTGACGAACATTTTATAAATATTTACATAATCTATCCAAATAAATAAAATTAAACTGTCTGTTTAGACTTTTAAGGTAACTTATTATCTATTAAAAAATTGTTATCTGTCTGTCTGTCTGTTAGTTCATGCTAATCTCAGAAATAGTTGGATGAAATTAGGCGAACCTCACTCGTTAATGTTATATGGAGTAGCTTAGGCTAGTTTTATTTTAGAAATTATATTTATTTCAATAAATAAAACAGTTAAATTCCACGCGAAAGAAGTCGCTAGTAATAGCTAGTATTGAATAAAGTTGTGAAAGATGTAAAAGGTCACACTAGGCAGGAGGGAATCTCACAAATGTGACAAGGATGGGGGGAGCAGTTCAAAAATTATCAAATTCTAGTGAATTGACAGATGCACCCAAGATAAATATAACCAAGATAGCTTGACGAATTTTAACAAATAAGAGTTACTAACAAGCTGATTACCATCTTGTTTGCAAATGGTTGTGGTGGTAATAACACAGATACAGAAAGTTTATACCACGTTATTATTATATATCCACCAATAAAAACATGAACAAAGAATTTTCTGGGCATATATTTAGCGGGTGACCCCTGTTTTCGCTTTAATTTGGACCACTATTAGCAATCCATCACAGAGAGTACGGGAGAATTTAAAATCGACACAAACTTTTTTATATCTCACGACCTGTGAGATCTAAAGTCGGAGTAGTGTACCACTAGGGCACGTTGTCTCACACACACATTGTTTGCTAATTATAATCATTAACTGTACACTATCTGTTACTCTCAATACCCATTACACGCATCTCCGCAGTAGTAATTATCTTAACAAAATCTACTCAGGAAATGATACAAATTTTCATCTCCTGTATAAGCTGTTTCAAACTTTATTAAAGGCAGATAATATTTTTGGGGACACCCAATATCAAGGGAGAAAGCGGATTGTTAGTAATTTGGACTCATGACCCCATCACTAGTCAGGTTGACCTCCACGCGGTTCCTCCTGGAAACCATCATGATACATTCCTGGTGAATTTGTTGCGATAGGCTAGCTGACCTGACCTCATGCTCATCTTGTCATCTCCCACTGGTGCCCCGCCAGCGTAAACCGTTAGCGCAGGTGGGTGCACCATTCCATTATAATCCATAAATAAAAAATATCCTTATACATCAACCTATTTATAGAACATAATAATTAAGCTTAGTAGTTTACGCGAAAAGAGCATACGAACACATAGAGTTACTTCTACATTTTTATCATTAATAAAGATTATAAATACAGAGATTAATAAGTAGAGTGCAAGAAAATATTTATGATAAATAAAAAAAACTAATTGTTACCGGCGCTTTTTACTTTTTCTTTCAAGAAAATCCGCCTCGAGACCTATTCGCATTATATTCGAGTACAACCGGCTAAAAACCTGATGGTATACCTCTCAGTCACAGCGGGCAAAACCACGGGAACTATCAATCTTCCGCAATGAAAATATAACCTATGTCTGTTCTAGTAAAACTACCTACTTCAGATCTCGATCTGAAGTTTCCCCGTTTAGATGTCAAAGATAACAAATCTTTCGAATTTGTAATACTTGTATGGACTTGATGATATATATGAATATATAATAGTATCATTACACAATTAATGATACATGAAAAAAAATATCATAAACAAAACAGGCGCGTAATCTTATTGGCATTTTTATGTTTTAACGAATGAATGAATTTTTATGAGCGGGCATTACTGTTCCGCGCGAGATAACGGCGATCAATTTGTTCCGCTCGAGTGATGCTCAAATTGGCTGCGGATTAAACCGGGATCATCACTATTCGTGAAAATTGGATGATTTTCCACAGATATTACAATCCATTGGCTTTTATGGCTTTTGTTTAATGAAATAAAAGAATTTGGAAAATTTAGCGGACTGATTCTACGCTTTGATGTAGTAAATTGTATTACGGGTTAGATGCCGATTCTTGAGAGTATTCACTACGAAATTCTTACGATGTCGTTATTTATCAATTATCAGAAACAATTTATTTAATAACTAGCTGTGCCCGCGGTTTCACCCATGTGAAATTTATAGACTATATGTTATATACTACTGTAAAGTTTCATCAAAATTCGTTAAGTAGTTTTTGCGTGAAAGAGTAACAAACATCCGTCCATACTCACAAACTTTTAAACGCTTTTAACGTTTTCAAAATACTTTTTAATATAAAAATCGGTACGATTTTAATAAAATTAATTTTGTAAATTAGTATTCTGGTCCCATGCGCGTCAACTCGAGTCGGGTGGTGGATAAAAAAGAGAGACATAATGGCAGAAAGATATACATCGCGTGGGAATAAATAGAAGTGCCAGTATAGCAAGCCCAATACGGATGTCCTTTGGTGACAAGATAGACGACGTATTGCAAAAGGGTCAAATAAAAAGCACCCGTAAGCTGTGAATGAATACGTCGATGAATGCAAGCAAAAGTTATATGAACGGAGTATTTGGCGTTCATTAGTCTCTGTGTACTTCAGTCGGAGATAGGTGTGACGGTATGTGATTTTTATGACCGACTAGTAGATGCATGCGACTTTGTCCGCGTGATATTTATTATTTCTTCGATATTATATGCTATGTATCGATATTAGTACCTACCTATTTATTATGTGTGAGAATATTGAATCAAAATTAACAAATTACGTGTCGTTCTCAGTTTTTACTCAGGTCAAAATGACTTTCTTGAGTAGGTTGTATACTAAGATATATAAGTTACTATAGATTTTTAACTATTCCATTGGAACTTTTTAATTTTTCGCGATTAAAAGTATCTAAAATATTGACTGGGGAAGTAAGGTACCACTATGCAAAATTTCATTTAATTCGGTCCAAGAGTTATCGGAGATTAGCCCGTACAAACAGACAAATGTATAAAGAAACAAAAGAGGTGAAAAAATTTTGATGTGTTCTATTTCACTTCTAACATCCCTATGACACTTTTTAGTGCGTTTTTTCTATGTACTCAATTTGATCTTTTCAGTTTTATTGTATGTATAGATAAATTGACCTAAAACAAAGCAGATACATATTGAAGATCAGACATCAGACTGGCTCGGTATTAACAATGCAATGTTACAATAAGTATGCCATAACATTGCATTGTCATCTGACTTACATATGTATGTATGTAAAAATTGAGAGCGATTGAGTACCGGAAAGTGGGTCAAAGAATTGATTACCCACATCGGTGATATTAAATAGTTTAGATAACTATTATAAGTTATAATTATATCAGCACATATCAAGTAACAATTTACTGAGAATCAAATTTTATACGTAACTGTTAATAATAAACAACCGAACGATCTATCTGTTGTAAAGAAAGATAAAATATAAAAGAGAAATATAAATAAACAGCATCACGGGTATCTCATAGCCAAGTGACCACCAAAGCACCCCTACCACCTCGCCTTTACAGTAGACTTAAGTGCTATGCTTCCGTACTCTGCAATATTTCGTTCATTAAACATACAGCTCATATAGCAAGATCCTATAGTTGAAACACGTAGATGACTGTACTTCTACTTAACACTTACCAGCAAACTAAACCGTTCCTCGAACATTGCTTCGACTCGAAGGACCCGTCAGCAGCACACTGCGGCACATACCCCCTGCCTTCCTTCTCACTGATCACCAGCAATTCCGCCAGCATTTTCTGTTGTGTACACATTGTCACATTATGTGGTAGTGTACAATGTCTCCCACATTCCCCGCCATCACAACACTTCTGCATGGATGGGCATTCTAAGTCGTGCGCGCAAGGAGTACCACATTCTAGGTCTGACGCGTTCTGTGCTGGACATGTTCCAGCCTTCCTGAGTTCGAGGGATGCTGGGCAACATACCCCATAGTCGTTTCCTAAGGAGAAAGAACCATCAATTAATTGCTGTAATTATTTTTACAAGTGGTCGAGATTCGACCATAATAAAAAATACAAAAAGATTTAGGAACCAGCAATAACACTTAAAAAGAGTATATGTGCGTGTGTCTGTTAAATAATAGTAGGTAGTGTGTGTAACGGTTTTTGATTAAATGTATTTTTGTGCATAATTAAAAAAAAATATTAGCATTCTGTACTGCTTATCTATATAAAATATAAGTGTGCGTTTCATTCTCCTCAGTCAGCGCAATTTGCTTAAAAGGGGTACAAAGTCTTTGCTTCACGTATATAGATATTGCCATGGTTACTATCGTTCCCAGTTCGTTATTCAGAGAACTCACACGATACTCTACCATTTAATAACCTTATTACTAATTCATTGCGTCATGATCTCTAATTATATACTGCTTATTGGTTTACAGTAGAATCCATGTAACTTACGTCATATCAATCCAGCCCATTAACATTATATAATATCTTATCTATGATTAACATTATATTACTGGACAAGATATGAATCTCGCCCCACACAACGAACATATCAGCGTAAGTTTGACAGGCTTTGTACGGTTTGAGTTATTTAGAGTTTTCCTTGCCTTCCACCAGTATATTTTTCTTTGTTCATAATATGAATCCAGGGATTATAAATTATTGCTGGCATATTGTTTTGTTAGCAAGAAATAAAACCACACTAAATATAAGACTAACTGTATCCCATGACAGTCTGTGATACTCGTTGATAATGTAACTTTCTACCGATGATATACCTAGGTACCTATCACTTTAATGATAGGTCAAAATTTTTCCGTATTGCAATAAAAATGTAATTGTTACAACAAGTAGGGATTAATTAATTTAATTATTTGTTATGAATGATGCGATTAATGATGTAAATAATTATGATGATGATGATGATGTGTCTGTGTGTGTGCCAATAGTGCTAGCTCACCTGAGTCAACTAAACATCTATACAGTGGTGGACAGTTGGGTTTGCCAGGATCCGTGCCACAGAGGAATGGTCGACTTGTTTCTGATATCAGAAGAGGCTCACCGACGGGACAAATGTTTTGAAGACTTCTTCCACGTTTACCTTAAAATAATATTGCTTAATGCATTAATAGATTACGCAACATCTCACAAAGCCAAAATCCAGTTCATTACTAAATTCAAAATAAGAGAATCACATTTCTGATTTAGAAAAACGATTATGGATATTACTAAGAAATAACTAAAACAAACATCGAAATACGATATTACTATAGGAATAGTTCTGTAACATACGCCTACATAAGCCTGCCCGGGGAACACCCGGGTGCATAACAATATGAGTTTCTAATTGATTAAATTTTTTAATTTTAATTTTTAAATCGATCAAGTGTTATGAGGCTATTCATTACAAACAAATCTTTCCTCTTTATAATATTAACATAGATATAAAATGACTTACATGTAGGTACAGGCGGGCACGGCGGTCTCAAGCACGGGGTCTCTTCCAACTGACAAGACAACTGTCCAGGACATGTAATAGAAGTGCATGGATCTCTACATTTGCAGAGCGGACACCCTTGCGGGTCCAGCTCGAAGCCGAGTGGACACAGCATACGGCATGTGTGAGCTGCGCATGGAGCGGCCAAAGTGCAGTTCACGAGGCTTGCGGCTGGAGCACGAGTGCCGGCCACCTATTAATAATAATAACTCCTTAGCAATAACTTCCTTACATTCCGCAACCTCTCCTACACTTGATTATGGCCCATGTAGGTAGGAATTTCCTATAATAATAATAACAATATTTATTTGTCTCAAATAGTGATCTCTTACAATTGCTGCTTATAATAACATTAAGAAGTATTAATCGACACAAAACAGTCTACAACTCAGAAGGGGCAATGTGTTTACCTCTCTGTTATTCTATTATAGCCTTTATCAGTAAATTATTACAATTAAAAAAATCAATGACGACGAGCACTTAAGTTCAAAACTGTCCTACTGAGAAACTAATTAAACATAAAAAAAATATAATAATAAAATTACGAACTAAAACACTTCAGGAGCGGTAGTACGAATGTGTGGCCTAAAATCTATTTTTATGACTGCAACACTGCAATGTCGAGGTTTCAGAGGGGCCAGAGACAAAACGTCAACGGTTACATGTTCAGATTCAAATTTTCAATAATAATCGTACTACTCATAATCAATACGCACCATTGTAATAATGGACATAAATAAAAAAATCGCCAAGAATCTCCGATTTTTTTTCACACTCGAGATCCTTCCTCATCTCACAAAAATCGCCAAACATTTATCCTGCATTACATTATATCAGTAGGGTTTGCAAGAAATGTTTGTATTATATTTGGCTTCAAAGTTAAGTTACTTAAAGCAACGCTTAAAGTGTCACCCACTTAGCGTTTATATTGTAGTATAAACAAGTTATATCACAACAAAACCGTTTTTACTTTTATTCTGTACAGTTTGTTGTTTTCATCGAAATTCGCTACAAGATGTGCAATATATTTTTACTTACATATTCAAATGTCCATGATTTTTAATTTATTTCCATTAAACAGAGCTATAACTATATTTCACATTGCGAATGTAAAAATTACGACATTTTTGGCACTCTTTGTCAGTACATTATTTATGATAATGGATGAACAGAAGTTTTTGGAATTTTGCCAAACTTTCTATAAGTTCTACAATCTCAGAGTTGACAACTTATGCTATGCGAGATATAATATTAATAATGTTTAAAACATTAATAAAATATTATTTCATGAAGTGTATTGAAGCATGACAGTCCTCAGGAATGGCAAACTGTGGGGAACCTGAAAGTTATGTGACAACACAATGTACTTATGTATTTTGTGCTGTTCGTATTAGCAGTACTCTACTAAAGCCACCAAGAACTAAAGAATAGAATAGAATTTAAAGTAAAACGATAAAATACCAATTTTTATTTTACTTGGATCTAAAATATAGTTGTTTAACAGGGTAGTATCCTTTTTTACTAACTCAATGAGACTGCGGATTTAGAGCTTAATTTTATTTTAATAATATGGCAATTCGAGAGGCTTATGTTTTGCAATAAGACCCTCAGATTGCCATATTATTACCGGTATTGGGATACCGAATGGGTGATTACATTTCAGATCAACGTTTGTAAAATTATAATTGAACTTCAATTAATTATAATAAGTTTGTCCAATTTTTCAAATACTTTTATAAAGCAACGCCACGGTCGCAAGTTCAATATCAAATTTTACAAAAATTTTGAAAATTCCTTTCTGATTTTCGCATCTAGTGAATATACTAATACTACCTAGATTTCGGCTCGGTACACCTTTTAGTACTGATCTTGTATGTCGCATATACAAGGTCAGTCGTAAAAGATGTACCACTGTGATTGGTTACCATTTTCCATTAAAACATCATTAGAGGTCGTCATCACGTTTACCATTCCAATTACAAAAAAAACAAATCACCTCGAACCCGGCTTCGTCGACGCACCAACAAGAGCTGACGATCTCATTGTCGCATTGTATCTGTTCGAACTCCCCATCAGAGACCCTGCAGCGAGGAGATCGCACCGACTTTTGAAGACCACGTCCGCCGCGGCTGCCTTCAGCTGCCAGTGCACGAGATATACGCTCTGTTGAGAGCCTTATGTTTTCACAACCTGCGAATGTAATATATGATTATTTTATTATATTTATAAATAGTTAACCCAACCCCCCCTAATACCTCTCCTAATCCCCCCCCCCTCTTCCGGTATTGTTTGGATACAATAATGTGTATTAAAATTTAAATAAATAAATAAAATGCGATAATATTTAAAATACAGATTATAATTTGTGTACTAATTACCTGTATACAATGGATCAACGCAGACTTGTCCGCAGGTGGTGGTGCAGCAGATCTGCTCCCCGCACTCGTCGTCCGTGGTACAGGGTGCAGCCCGCGCCGGACATGCTCCGTCGGCCGCCGGACATCGCCCACGAAGCTCCGCCTCAGCTAAACGTCATCAAAGATCAACAATATTAATCAAAGTGTTGATTAATCAAAATGTTGATTAATATTAAAATTAATACTAGTAAGGGTTTTTACACATAATTATGATAATTTTTTGTAAGAGGAACAATAAAGAGTTTCATTAATTAATTCATTAAGGGGCCAATGTAAGTCACACGTTTAGGGACGGAGGAATTTGATAAAGTGACATTAGACTGCTTTTATACGACATATTTTTTCATGAGCATCATAAGTGCTTGCGATTTAGCGAGGGAAAACCAGAGCGCGCAATCGTGAGGGATTGCATCTAATTATTTTTTGATTTACCCTTTCGCGCGTGTTCGCGGGTAGGATTCATATTAGTATTTATTAAATATTTACACTTCTTTTTAACATTTTTTATTTTATAGAGTCACATTATAGATTTATAAATTATGTTTTTGCTCCATAGTCAGATGTCCGCCATTTTGCAAATAAGTTGTGTAAATAAATCATGTAATCTAGGACCCCTCCGAAGAGTTAGAGATTTTTTAATAGATGGTGATGAATTGGTACATTCACCTGCGCTAACGGTTCACTGTGGTGGTTTTTTCAATAAGGTTTCCTTAAGTACTATGCTATAATTATAAATTATAATTTATGGTATGCAAGAAAATGTAATTAAATTCATTGTAATAATGCAACATTATATAAATTGTTAAGAATAAATAAAATGAACTGCTACATTAGTACTTACTTAATGCTATATACAATTTGTATCTAAATTGCAAATACTAACTTATTCTAAACAATCTTTCATTATGCATTGTTTAGAATAAGCAACGACGTGTCTGCAATATAAGAATAGTAGTGAAATTATTAAATAATAATTAGAATAGAAAGCGACCAACGGACCGTGGTGCAGGAGCAGCGCGCAGACGCACAGCACCGCCGCCCTCACCGCCGCCCGCATCGCTGCATCACACACGCGGACGCTGCAACAAAAGAAATAAACATTACCCGCTTGTAAACCTGGCCTCATATTATCGGGTTCGTACCGGACGGCTCGTGCCGATTTGAGCATTCCCAATCAGAGCGAAGTGTAGAACGCCGTCATGCGACTCATTTCGCATATATACGGTGACACTAACTGTTACGGCAGTAATTATCGAAGACATTGTTTAAAATAAATATTAAATAAACACCATTTAAGTCCCAAACCTTAGCAGAACTTGTTGGTACTGTAAGCACTAAACACTGTATAATGAAACTAAATAAATAAATAAAGAAGACTAAATTAATGAAATATTTTTTTTTTAAAATAGACATATTTTATACATAGAACATACTATACATGTAGGTACCTCTGTCTCTAAGCTAACTTCTTAAAGGATAATTAAATTACAGTATATGGAGGTAGGACACTAGATTTCACTCGCAACACATCGCAAGTGACGGCTGCCACATACATTCAGCTAATTTGGCATTACATTTAATAAAATAAAATTAATAGTAGCAATGAATGATGATTGGATCTATACCCATATTCTAATAACGGGATAGTTTGTTCTAATAGAGAAGGTATTAACGCTTCCAATGAGGTAGGGTTTCCGCACGTAATATTTGGTACTCACACATACTAATGGTAGCAGAATTAAACAATATAATACAAATCCATTAAGTAATGAAATGAACTTCCGCAAAATAATATCTAATTCGATAAAATATAATAATAGGAACTTGAATACAACAATTGTTATAATTTGTATTAAGACGAGGAATGAATAAACATTTCTTAATACAATACAACATTACAATAATGTAGGAGCGCAAAGGAACGCCAAACATTCAGCTGAACTATAGACAGACAGCCGAGCATACTAATGGTATCGAGTCGACAATGCAGACCATGAATCATGTCTACAAATCATTTCCCCCGCCGAACATGGGGCTCAACCTTGTAACAAAATCGGAGGCCATTAGGCAATGCATATAATTACAATATGCTAGACATTAATATGCGTAAGTGTAATTTAGTATAAATGCTTTGTATTTTTCCCGCATTTATATAGAGTGAACTAGGTACTAGAGTAGTTCACAAATGAACAAGTTTGCGGCTCTATGGAAACTATGATATTCTTAATAAAACTCTGAAATGAAATGACAAAATATTATGAACGCTATCAATAGCATTTCATTAAACGTGCCATGTAAAAAATATACAACGCCATCTACATAGTACACAGTTGACAAACTGAAGTCGCGTATTAAAATAAATTCCAATACACCGAATTAATGTTATTAATTATTTAATTTAAAATGACACAAATAATGTAAAGTTTCATTTCAAAAATTAAATTTCTATATTGTTGTAACAATAATTATAATTATTTTATCTGTCTGTATATGCTGTTCCTATATACATTCTGATAGACTTTTACAGGATCATAACCTTTGTAAAAATAATCCGATATTAAAAATACTTTTCTATACCAACTCTGTAATAGCAAGTATTTAAGTACGTATATATATGTATATTCATAGGTATATACGCATATTACTATCGACATATATACCTAAGTTAGGTAAATACAAATAGTATACCTTTTTCCCATTACTGCCCTTCAACCGCTTTCTTATTCTACCCAATGGTTAACTGGTAGAGAATGCCAATTGTACATTATTTTAAATAGTGCAATAAAGAATAAATAATAATATAGTAATAGTGTAATTTCTAAAATAAAAACAACAAGGTAGGCTTAATTTTCAAAATTTCGTTTCACATAAGTGTACCTAACACGTTTCTATTTAAATATTTAATCATATTTATTCCAGATGTCGTGTTCCATGTACATCACATATATCATGATATAAGTTGATCACGGTATGAAATAGTGATGTATTTTATCGTGCTCACCGAACTGTATATTGTTCACTTCATCACGCATCGGTTGTATTATCATTCATCTGGATGCTAAACGTGTCACATACTCGATACGTCCTCGTACTACATCGTAATCGCAACTTCGCAATATAAGTACCATCATAGAAAAGACATTGTAATTAGCTACTAATACCTTTTATTTATCACTAACGACCGGTCCTGGCTCCGCACACCTTAAAAATATTTTAATTTCTCTTCTTATTGTACTTCATCAAGCATATATTATACATATAATCTTATTGAATCACTCTTTCTATTGCTGAAAATTGCATTAAAATCCGTTGCGTAATTTGAAAGATATAGGCGAACAGACAGCAATGGCGACTTTGTTTTATACTATGTATAAATAATACATATAATAATAATAAACTCTATTGTGCATATAGAAGAAATACAATAAGAAAAACAGTAGATAAAGATATGTCACATCAACACGTAGTGATGTGACATATCTTTATGTACTGATCACAGAGAAATTAACACTAGATACATTTTATAAGATTTGGCACTGCCATTATAAGAAATCAAGTATAGTACTAAGAAATAAGAACTGGCATAATTTTACAAAAATTGTTTGAAGTCAGGTGGACTTGTACATGCGAACAAAACATTCAAAATTAATTTATGAGGAGAATTGTTTACATATATCATACCGAAAAATATACAAAAAATATTTTGTTCCTAATGATGCAAACTCTACTATACAATAACTACACGAATACCTAAAACATAATCTCTCACAGTAGTAAATAGTCAAAACGGTAAAATAATTTACACCACATTTGCCCGCGCAAAACAGAGCACTCCATATTTTTTTTTTTTCATAACCAAACAAAGCTAAAGCAAAAGACCATGAAATTATTATTCTTTACTTTAACTTTCAGATTGAATGACAAACTTAATAATAAAACAACTAATGTTCTGGATCGTTTCCATAACAATTATTGGAAAAAAATTTCTTAATGCTTGCAAAGAAAGATTGGAACATCTAATACGTATCTGATACAGGATGTCTTTACATTTTTTTTTATATCTTTAAAATTTTAGGGTCTTTTATACAATCTAAAAGTACATTCCAGTCCCAATGTACCCTAAAACTACTTACTCCATTGCCTCACCAGTGAACAAATTGCCTTAGCCGCACTATCTGAGGGGTAAGCAAGACACTTTGTATGGCACCAACAACCAACATATTTATTCTATGGTCTGACGTTATTCTATATAGTAGACTCTCGTTCCTGACATACTCCATCAGCAAATTATATACCTACATGCTCTATTGTACCACATACTTCACAATTACATTATTATTATAATACAAAATATTTCTTGACCCAGAAATTTTAACCGTGCATTAATCATCAACCATGTAAATATCCAATTATCAAAGACCTTATATTTTATTTTATGTTGTACAATGGAGAGTTCAAACTGCATCTAATGATTCGCTCCACCGACTCTTATGAAACATAGTATATTAATAACCGTTGGAAATAATAGTAATTTACAACTTCTGTTGGTAATACTGGCTGATTGTAGTTACAGTATTATCATATAATTTTTTAGATTAATAATTCCATTCATCTTTTATTTATACTTGTCCAAAAATTTGTGTTTATCAATAGAAATAACAATTACACCTAATAAAAAGAAACATACTATTTAAAAATCGTTAAAACTATATTTCGTAATCAATATTTACATCAATATGATATTAGTACTTTGCTCCCAACATCACAATAAAGAACTATGATTTTAATTTTATTAGACTTCTACAAATTCTCGCTATATAGATAGACAGGCGTCAAATGTAAAAAATATGTAGATATACGTATAGAAAAGATATGGTCTGTAATCTGTGACATAAGGGCTTAAAACACATCATAAAGCCCTAGTTTGCTCAGAGTGTAAACTAACTTAGGCTTTATCAAACTTATAGCTCCACTATATATAAGGTAAGACATATCATTACGAATTCCTTTAAAAGCTGACTAACGATACAACAAATAACATATTTAGAAAAATACAAAAGAGCAATTGATAAATGTCATTTATACCTATTATATTAGTAAATTTAGTATACCGATATGTAAGGTAATCGTATGTAAATTCTAACACTCATCTACAATTTCAACAGAATCTATCCTTTATACAAATTCGTCTGTCTCAAATCTCAGTCTTACTTTTTTCTCCGTCAAGTAGCTCGGTTTGTAAACTATATTTTGGTTTTAAGGCATAAGGCACTCGAATGATATGAATCTGTAGTCACAAGACGATATCTAAATATGTAACTCAAAGGTGACTGACATAGTGATCTATCAACGCACAGCCCAAACCATTGGACGGATCGGGCTGAAATTTGGCATGCAGGTAGATGTCATGACGTAGGCATCCGCTAAGAAAAGATTTTGATTAATTCTACCCCCAAGGGGATAAAATAGGGGATGAAAGTTTGTATGAAACTTTATCAATTTTAAACCGATCGGGCTGAGAATTTGCATGCATAAAGCTACTATGACGTAGGCATCCGCTAAAAAAGGATTTTGATAAATTCCACCCCCAAGGGGATAAATTAACACGAGCGAAGCCGTGGGCAAAAGCTAGTACAGTATATGCTGTCTATGATGTAGTTCTTATCTATCGGTGACAACCACCATCTGGTAGATCGACTGCACATTTGCCATTCCAATTCCATAAAAAATACATTAACTGGTGTACTGCAAATGGTGCACTCTTTGAGAAACCCTGAATTTCGTGATGTAATAATCTAGTAGCCCAACGCGTGTATGCTAATTATTCATTACTTTCTCTGTTTCGTCTTCAACCGTAGTGTTTTGTCGGTCGTAGAACTCGAGCCCGCGTCATTGTTGTCTCTAACTATGCAATATTATATTATCTGTACTCTAACATATTATAATATACTTTATGTAATATATACACATACGCTAGTATTACTATTATATCAATTTTGATGACATAACAAACAGACGGATCTCAATTCTGAAAATTTTGTCATTTTCTTAGTCAATTTTAGTCATTTGGGACTTAGAT